TGATTTTACCGGAATCGTTCGATCCAGTAAAACGTCAAACTTGACATAGTATAAAGTAAAATAAATAAATTTTATTCAATTTTGACATGTAAACAAACGTTTATTTTGCCGTCAGTAGGCCACTAAAGCTTTGGTTTATCCGGTAGCACCATAAAATTTTTAAACCGCTAGCGAAATAAAATTTTTATTTTGCTGTTTTAAAACCATGGTTACCATTTCTGTAATTTCTCCAATGCCTTGCTGCTCTTTCCATCTAAGGAACTTTTGATACACTTTCTGATTTGCTCTTTTTTGGGAGCAAGTTTTGCCGTTGGAATCTTGCATGATTTTGCAATTTTTCGATAATTTTAGTTTGCTTAAAATAAACAAACACCGTCGCCAGAGTCACATACTACACACACACACCTGATATTGTAACCTAAATTCTACGCATATAAAACTTTTATTTGGTCGCTGTCAATTCTGACGTTTCTCGAATGTGAACTTTGAATCACCAATTTTTTCACAATTTGGGACTTGGGGTTGTCAAAATTGAATAAAAGTTTGTATTACACTCGCAGTTAAAATGAATGTGTAACTCGTGGTCTTAAGGCGCTCGCGGCATACGCCGCTCTCGCCTTAAACTGGCCGCTCATTAAACATTCACTTTAACCGCTTGTATAATAAATAACTATTATGATGTAAATACAATTGAGTATATCGATAATTCGCTACTGAAAATTTATTGAAATATAATTTGTGTTAAAAAAAGATTTTTGTGGTTTTATGGTTTATTAACATAATTTACTTATTTGAAATTACATATTTTTAATACATAGCACAAGTTCTTGATATTCTTTATTTTTATTCCAAGTAATAATTGTGTTTCCTTTAGTTTTAATCAAGAAAATTTTTCGGTTATTATCTAACATACTTTTGTACATTAAGAAACTCCATTCCACGTCACAGGACGTTACAGGACAATATTTAAATAAATAAAGAAGTCGTTTTATGTGTTTTAAAATTCACTCTGATTTCCGGACTTTAGACTTTTTGGTGTTTCACTTCGGCACAAGAACTAGTCGTATCTCAAAGAAAACAAACAGTGGAATATAGCGTATTGTACCTATATTTCATAGTAAAAATGTCTAAATTTTTTTATGAAGAGACAGACTGTTCTAGGAAACTTTACTAAATCTTTTCATTTACGAGCTATTGAAAGTCCGCCGGTCTCACTGATACTTCTTACTTGGCTCCTACGAATGAAGCGAAAAATGCACAGATTGAAAATATAGTAAATGGGGTAGTATGTATGCGTGATATGTCGTTAGACATTAGGTATTTTGCAAATAAAATTTATTTCATTGAAAACAGAAACAATAAAAAACATATCTGTACAAGTTTGGAATCGATATGACCAGTTGTTTAGAATATGCAAATATGCTTTTGTTCGTATTTACAATTATTACGAAACAGGTTATCAAATAATCTATTTTCACATGGCGAGACTTTCAAGCGGCCGAAGAATTAAAAACCATAAATTTTCATTGAAGAAACAAACTCTTCCAAGAAAATTACCAAATCTTTTAGTTTACGCACTATTGGACGAGCACTCCTTAAAACGGTCAGTATACCTAATCGCATTATTCCATTGATACCTACCTACCGAAAACGTTGCCAGATGAGCCTAACACAAATTTGCGGATATTTCTCGTTAACCAGATATTATTTCATTTAGAAGTTTCTGGTAAATAAATGGGATTATTGTAATGAACATATAAAACAAATAAATTGTGATTATTATTTGTTGTTTTAACCCATTAGACGCTTATAGGCTTATAAGCATACTTTTCTTGAAAAATCGGTAATAAATTCAGTGAAACATCTTTGTGCCTTAATTCCTATTGGTAAACTGGGATTTTGAATAGAGGTCGCAGGAAAATTTTGTATGGTTTTATGGTTTATTTACATAATTTTCTTATTTACAATGAATGTTTTTGATATATAATACAAGTTCTTGATATTATTTATTTTAATTACATTTAATAAACCATAAAACCACAAACATCTTTTTTTAACACAAATTATATTTCAATAAATTTTCAGTAGCGAATTATCGATACACTTAATTGTATTTACTTCCTCTTGTCTTGTTAAAGCTCGTTTACTGTCGTCTGAACTAACTCGGTAAATTAGCCTTTACACGCACCTTGCCTGTAAAGCGTTACCGTGGCAGCTTTACAGGCACCGTGCCTGTAAAACGTTATCATGACAACACCGGAATCAAACACACATTCGCTGCGTTGGCCTTTTTCTTAATCTCACTAATACTGTGCTAATACTAACGTTAAAATCACCTTCAAACTCTTCATCTTCATCGAATTCCACAATTAACAGAGCTCAGAAACAAAATTAAACTATTTAAATTATTAATCGAATTTACAAATTGACAGTCCCGTTATTTTCAAACAATTCAATTTTCCATAGTTACCGGAGCAAACTATGAAAAATGACTATAATTTCTATGACTGTAATTTCAAGTAAAATTTCTAGAGATGCCAAAGTTGTTCATTTTCAGGATTTTCAGCAAGAGGAAGTAAAACGTTGTACGCGGCTCGCTTGCAACTAGCCTTTACTGGGGCTCACCGGATTACAGGGCTCGCTCCTACGTCGCTCGCCCTGCAAACATTCCGGCTCGCCCGTAAAGGCTAATTTACTAAGCTTGCCACGTAAATAACTATTACATCATAAAATTTATTTATTTTACTTCATACCATGTCAAGTTTGACGTTTTACTGGATCGAACTATTCCGGTAAAATAAAAAAAACGGACAAGTCCGATAAAATTGAGCCAAAAAGGACAAGTGTTCCATTTCCGGAAGCGGCCACTGTCCCTTTTGGGTCTCTTTTGCTTTACCTGTTATTGTAAATACAAATGTAAATTTAGTACTTCTGTAACCGTCCTGTATTAAACATCGAAACCGAACGCTGTCTATTATCTCGCACGCAAGAAAACAAAGGTCCTTGGAGCAATATCAAAGTACAATTCGGTATCACATTGTCGTATCAACCAGATTACAAAAAATACTGGTAGGACGAGCCGAGTTGCACAAACATTGGTCCTTCGAGACGGATTGCACAAAACATTCGTCCATCGAGTCGGATTATACAAAACAATAAGTCCTGTAAAGTGTTATAAGTACTATGTGTTTAAACATATGATGCTGATTTGCACGAATAAACAAATTAAAACATTTACCAAAAAGCGGTTGCTAACGATGTCAGAAAAAGTGACTCGATTTTGATTTTTTCTCAAAATAATAATAATTTTATCGAATAAAAAAGTATGTTAACAGTATGAAATAAAATACATAACAACACACGTCCGGTAACTCTTTTCGCAGTACTCGTTTCGAAATTAAAGACTCGGCTACCTACTCGTCCTGAAACATACCACTCGTACTGTAAAATTTGAGCTACCGGACCGGACCGTATTTAGAATAACTTTAATTACCATTTATGTTTTCATCAACACTAACAAGTATTTAAAATAACAAGTAATAATTTGTTTGTATTGTTTATTCATTATAATAATTCCATTTATTCACCAGAAACTTTTAAACGAAATAAAATCTAATCGACTAGAAATAACGGCAAAGTTGTGCTAGGCTCATCTGGCAACGTTGCAAATTGTATAAATGGTTACTAAGAGATTTTTACACATTGTTTTCGTCGCCCTCTGTCGAGTGGTAGCTTTATTAAATGTATTGTTGCTGTGATTTGGGTTATCTACGCGCGCGATTGGTGTCCAAGCTTTTCGCCGGCGTTTGACGGCCGACTGTTGGTGCGCCATCTCTTGTTCGCCGGCCGTTGGCCTGTTCGCTCCAAACAATAGCATGGGTCTATCTATATGTATTTAATCAATGGCAGGTATTAAGCCCCGCCCACCCGCCCTCTCTTTTCTTCGAGGGTATCTCATTTGCCAAAATCAGTCTAATCTTGGCAGCTACTAGCACCGCCCACCCTCCCTCCCTCTCTTTTTGCGAAAAAAAAAAAATTTTTCTTTTCTGTGGAAAATCAGGAACCTGTCTAGTCATCGCAGATCTTTAGTGATCCTATTGCCCTTGGAGTAGATTTAAAAATAGTGTTATATTTAAAACAGAACCTTGAGGCGTTTCATTTTCCTTTTTGCGGCTGGGAGAGTTCACGCGGTCTAGATTCAACAGAATTGTAAAGTGACGCAGCAATACAAAACGGTCCGGGAAGTAAAAATAGGTCTCTTAAATTGAAAATCTTTGGTTTTTTGGGGAAACTAAATCTAACTTTAGTGGATTGTAGCAGCATTAGACAAAATAGCAAATGTGAAGGTTTTTGTCATTTTTTAAAAGAGCTGCAGATCTGTTACATTGTCAATCACATAGTATGCAACTGCTAAATATTGTATATGAAAATTTAATTATTCATTTAATCCAACATGTGCTGCAGTAAAACTGTTCATAAGGTTATAACTTATTTCTTTTAAAAAGAATAGATAGTTGAAATGTTTTATACCATAGATGAATCTACACTTTAGAAATTGCATTGTAACATTATGTGCAATTGTTTTATATGTAAAAATTTGCAGCTTTCCTGATTATTTTGAAGTATCTGATATCAGCGTGCCGCAAGACGCAAATTGCAAAGTGACAAGTCATCTGTGATTACCTCTTTTATTATTCTTGGAATAAACATTTGCAGATATTTCCAAATGTCTCTTAGGTTTAGCATTTTTTTTAGCAATCACGTCATCCCGTATATTAATTACTATGAACTCATATCTTTCTGTATTCTACGGAATAGCGAGCCCCCTAATAAACATATCATAAATATGTCCTTAGCGACAGTCAAAATAAGTTGATCCATAAACATTTAACCAACTACAATGATAAATAGCCGAACACACAAAGGGAATAAAAGTTCAACGAAACTTCTGATGTATGACAGATCTACGCTAAACAACTTCTCACTGTTTGGTTGCATACCTTTCTTTCGATTCCGCTTCTTTTTCTTCTTTTCCCCTTCGCCTTCCAAGGTCGCATCGTTAACTTCGTTAACATCATCAGCTTTTCCATCCTCTACAACACGTTCAGTGTCTTCTGTAGCTAAAAATGCGAAAATTATACCGGTCACACGAGTTCGTAACAAACAGCCTACGCGTCTTTTTCTTCTTCTTCTTCCTCTTCTTTTTCTTACTTTCGTCGCCAGGGGTTATTTCGCCCCCTGCTTCCTCCACATCATTCTCTCTTTCGTTTTCGTCTTCGTTATCTTGAGGACTTATTTCAGTTTTTAACGCCGCCATTTTCACTGGTGAAGCCGTCAAACCCCTGCGAACATTTGTCAAACTCAAAATTTATTGATTTAGTGAGCTGCCACGGAGGGAGCCACCCTGCTGATTTCGTAAAAACCTTGAGCGAAAATAATACAGTGGTTTCCAAAAAATTTCGGCCAGTTCTATCACTCGGTTGACATATTCTCTAAAACGAGCTTTATTTTTATTTACTCAATCATTTTCATTGCGCAGAAAAATGCACGGTAGTCTAAATTACTGACTAGCATTCTTTGTTTATTTTTCAAATTCAAATTATTCAAATGCGGTTTAATTTTAAGACAAAAAATGTTTGACTACCTCTGTTCTCAAACCCAGAAATTTCTAGTGACTTTCTTTTTTCCACTGTGTATTTTAAACTTTTTTAGCCAGGGAGTACACCTTGCGGTGACAGCGGCTGCGGTTATCACCTATCACATTGTGAGGTCATTCTTCATTCTTCAAGTTTTTCAATTAGGTTTTAATAAAATTGTACTGAGATCATGCAGACCGCGCTTCGAAATGCTACTTCATACTCTATTAAAGTAAGTAAAATTGTTTAAAATTTCATGTTAATTAAATTCGTTTTAATAAATCCACAATAGTTTACGTAATATCATAACCTCTACCCTTCGTTTACATCCTTTCAACTTTTCATTACATTTGCATAATTAATTTAGGCTATTCTAATATTGAAGGTCACCCGATAACCGTTCATTTCACTCTTACAGCCATCCAATTTGATTAGATGTCACAAAGGTGTCCTCAGCTTCTTACACCATCGAGATTATTCAACAACTCATGAAGCTGACATAGTGGTCATAGGCTCAGGGCCAGGGGGTTACGTTGCGGCTATTAAAGCTGCACAACTTGGCTTCAAAGTAATAATTTAATCATAAATCGCATGCACTCAAAAACAGGTACATTTTAGACAGTATGCATAGAAAAGGATCCCACCCTGGGTGGTACCTGCCTCAATGTAGGTTGTATACCATCAAAAGCCCTATTAAATAATTCTCATTTCTATCACATGGCCCATTCTGGAGATCTAAATGAGAGGGGCGTTGTATGTGACAATGTGAAGCTTGATTTGGACAAGTTGATGGGACAAAAGACAAATGCTGTTAAGGCACTAACAGGCGGAATAGCGCAGCTGTTCAAAAAAAATAAAGTTAATTTAATTAGTGGACATGGAAAAATCACTGGCGTGAATCAAGTTACAGCTCTAAAGCCAGATGGTTCATCAGAAGTAGTTAACACTAAAAATATTCTCATTGCTACTGGTTCAGAAGTAACACCTTTTCCTGGTATTGAGGTGAGTTTGTATGTTTTCTGGATTCTCTGGAAGGCCAAATAGAAAAGAAACTAAAACTTATAGGAGTAATAATGATTTGAGAAAAACGCAGACACAGCAAACAATTTTGGAGAGGAATGTTGCATGTCTTTAAAAAAGATTTATTGTTAGTCAATGACCTTGTAAAGCGGCCAAAGTTTAGTATTTTATTTAAGTGATGAAAGTACGAAATGAAACACAATATTTCACAAAACTGAAGTATTGTTTATTTTTGCAGTAAATTTTATTAAATTTTTTTAAACAAATATTACTTCCAAAAAATGTCAAAATTTGAACTATGGGTTTTTTTAGTTCCGAACCCGTCGGCCGACTCTATACTTTTACGTTTTCTCGACCTTTCATGATTCATAGAGTACCAAGAAATAAGTCTCCCGTTTCCGTCTGTCTATCTGTCCGTCTGTCTGCCGTCCTGATTTTATTAGGATAATCTCCGAAAGTACTGGGCCGATTGTTGTCAAATTAACATGTAGTTTATGACTCCGTGTTTAGTTTTTTCCTAAAACGCCCAGATTTTTGGGAAAAAAATCAAAATTATAAAACAACATTCTGCAATTTAATTTTGAATCAGCAAAACCTAATGCTTTGAAATCTTGCAGATGTTTTAAAGTTATGATAAGCATAAACATTTTTTTATCAATATATTTGCTTATCCCCTCCAAAAATTGATGGCGTCGGTGCAAAATTTGGCCGAATAAATCCTATCTAAGATGTCCAAGATATGATGAGTCTATACTTGTAATTTATAATTCCATTATATATTTTTACTTCCCGAGCGTAAGCAAAGGAAGTATTGTAATCGAGTCCGTCGGCCGACTCTCTACTTTTACGTTTTCTCGATCTTTCATGACCCCTAGAAGACGAAGAAATAGGTCTCCCATTTCCGTCTGTCTGTCCGTCCGTCTGTCCGTCCGTCTGTCCGTCTGCCGTCCCGGATTTTTATTAGACAGATAATCTCCGAAAGTACTCGACCGATTGTTGTGAAATTTTGTACTTATATTAAGAATATCATGTAGATGGTAAAACGCTAACCAAAATTTGTCTAATCATCCCCACCACTAATGCGATGACGTCACTTCAAAATTGTACATAGTAAATGGGTTTTCAATTGTATAAAATAACATAGTCCTACACATGTAGTTTACAACTCTGAATCGACTTTTCACCCGAAACGTCCAGATTTTTGGAAAAAAAATCAAAATTATAAAACAACATTTTGAAATTTAATTTTTAATCTGCTAACCAGAATGCTTTGAAATGTTGCAGATGTTTTAAGGCTATAAAGAGCATCATCAATCTTTAGTCAAAAAATATTTGCTTATCCCCTCCAAAAACTTGATGACGTCAGCTCAAAAGTTTATGGAATAAATCATATCTAAAATGTACAAAATATGATAAGTCTGTACTTGTGATCTATCACTCCATTCATATTTTTTGGATTTGCATATACAGGGTGACTCAAAAAAATTAATGAATGCGTAAATTTATTTTATTGATTTAATCAGGAACTACAAAACCGAATGCTCTGAAATCTTGCAGATGTTTTAAGGTCATAAAGAGCATAATAAATGTTTAGTCAATATATTTGCTTATCCCCTCCAAAAACTTGATGACGTCAGCTCGAAAATTTGCCGAATAAATCGTATCTAAAATGTACAAAATATGATCAGTCTGTACTTGTGATCTATCACTCCATTCATATTTTTTGGATTTGCATATACAGGGTGATTCAAGAAAATAAATGAAAGCGTAAATTTATTTTACTGATTTACTCAGGAACTACAAAACCGAATGCTTCGAAATCTTGAAGATATTTTAAAATTATCATAAGCATGGTAAATTTTTGTTCAAAATGTATTTGGTCGTCCCCCCTAAAAAATTTATGACGTCACCACAAAATTTTGCTGAATAAATCCTATCTAAAATGTACAAAATATGGTGAGTCTCTTCTTGTGATTTATCATTCCATTCAAATTTTTTCGATTTGCATATACAGGGTGACTCAAAAAAATTAATGAATGCGTAAATTAATTTTATTGATTTAATCAGGAACTACAAAACCGAATGCTTTGAAATCTTGCAGATGTTGTAAGGTTATAAAGAGCATAATAAATTTTTAGTCAAAATATATTTGGTTATCTTCTACAAAAAACTGATGACGTCAGCTCAAAAGTTTGCCGAATAAATCGTATCTAAAATGTACAAAATATGATGAGTTTGTACTTGTGATTTATCATTCCATTCATATTTTTGGATTTGCATATGCAGGGTGACTCAAAAAAATTAATGAAGGCGTGAATTTATTTTATCGATTTAATCAGGAATTACAAAACCGAATGCTTTGAAATCTTGGGAATATTTTAAAGTTATTATAAGCATGGTAAACTTTTGTTCAAAATGTATTTGTTCATCCCTCCTAAAAAAATTGATGACGTCACCCTTAAATTTTGCTGAATAAATCCTATCTAAAATGCAAAAAATATGATGAGTTTGTACTTGTGATTTATCATTCCATTCATATTTTTTAGATTTTCTTAAGAGGTGGTTCAAAAAAATTAATGAAGTCAATTTATTTTATTGATTAAATTAAAGGCAACACTTATTATTAGTATTACACCCCAACCAACCCAATTTGGTAGACACAAAATTTGTTAAAGGAAAAACTCGGTTGAAACATAAGGGTAGCACGCTTATTTACATCGACTTTAACATTACAGACCTGCATTTGTTTTATGCGCTCACTTGGTTTCGCGAATGTGGAATAGACATGTTTATAATCAACCAATTGTGAATTTCACCGTCAAGAATTAAAATAAAACCCAATGTTTTATATAATAAGCGGAAGTCGAAGCAATAAAACCGATGGTCGTTTTGTTTACAGTTTCTCTGTTTGACTCTCACGTATGCTGTTACGCTTGTCATCTTAAATTAAGAATGTTTATACATAAACGATTTTCAGTTGCCGTATACGCGAGTAAATTGTTTCGTTATTTTATTGATTATAAAAAATCAATATTCAAAACGACCCAATTCATTTTCCCGAAAATTTGGGAATACAATAATTTTATTCTTAGTATTACACTACATCTATCCCAACTGATATACGTGTCCTTGCAAAAATGTTGATGACGTCATCGCAATTTTTTTTAAATTCCCACTACAAAAATGTAATGAGAAAAAAACACAATAGCCATGCAGTCGTCAAGTTTCCGACAGCGAGGGAAGTACTGTCTAAACTCTTTAGACCAATTTTTTGGATTTGCTTATATAGGGTGTCTCAAAAAAATTTATGAATGTGTGAGTTTTTTTAATAAAACGCACTATTCCATTGTGGTAAATTGTAGATCGACGAGCAACAGATTGTTTCTTCAACTGGGGCCCTTTCGTTGAAGGAAGTACCAAAACGAATGATAGTAATTGGAGCAGGTGTTATCGGTCTTGAATTGGGGTCTGTGTGGTCCAGACTAGGTGCAGAGGTAACAGCTATTGAATTCCTCACCTCAATCGGTGGGATCGGAATCGACGGTGAAGTAGCCAAAACGTTTCAAAAGATTTTAACAAAACAGGGGTTGAAGTTCAGAATGGGTACCAAAGTAACTGGAGCACAGAAAACAGGAAGTACCATAAAAGTGAACGTTGAAGACGTCAAGAATTCAGATAAAAAAGAAGAGGTTTGTGATTAAATATTCTGTTATAGTGAGTAATTTTCCGATTTTAGTTGGAATGCGAGGTTTTACTTGTGTGCGTAGGGCGTAGACCCTACACTCATAATCTTGGACTTGAAGAGATGGGTATCGAAAGAGATCAGAAAGGCAGAGTTCCAGTAAATTCTCATTTCCAGACTGTTATTCCTAACATTTACGCAATCGGTGATTGCATCCATGGCCCTATGCTGGCCCACAAAGCCGAAGATGAAGGTCAGTTCACATTGCTATTTTTGCAAGCAATTGCAAGTTTTAATTTTTTACAAAAATTCTAGGCATCATATGTGTGGAAGGAATCAAAGGGGGTCCAGTGCACATCGATTACAACTGCGTCCCATCAGTTATTTACACCCACCCAGAGGTCGGCTGGGTCGGCCGCTCTGAAGAAGATTTGAAAAGTGAAGGAATCGCCTACAAAGTCGGAAAGTTCCCATTCATGGCAAATTCCAGAGCAAAAACTAACAACGAAGCCGACGGTTTTGTAAAGGTATTAGCTGATAAAGCCACCGACCGCATTTTGGGAACGCACATCATTGGACCTAGTGCTGGCGAACTCATCAACGAAGCCGTCTTGGCACAAGAATATGGGGCATCAAGTGAAGATGTTGCAAGAGTATGCCACGCACATCCCACTTGTGCGGAAGCTCTAAGAGAGGCTAACTTGGCGTCGTACTTCGGGAAACCCATTAATTTTTAAGGAAAGCTGTCGATCTTTGTAAATACGTGAGTGCGATTAAGTCTACGACTCAATGGAAAGTAATAATCACGAATATAATTTATGTGAAATATTGTGCTTCATTTCGTTAATTTCATCACTCAAAGTGTATTAAAAAATTGTTATATTTTGTTCACGGCAGTGAACTATGATAAGTTTTATTAAAGAAATCACCCCTGAGGCAGTTTCTTCATTGATCCGACCTCGTCTTCCAACCTTTTTGGAAAAATATCCACTTTCCTTCGTATCCACAGCACTAACGCAAAACATTTTCACTAATAGCTATTAACAATAAATAAAAATTTCGCGAACACGTACTCCTTTTAAGCCGAAACGGAGCTTTGAATGCTCCGATGTTGCTGCCACCAGACCGAAATCAAAACTGAACGCGAAGGACCGAAAAAATATGTCCTTTGCTCAGGTAGCTCACGTGGCAGTGACGTAATCGTACGTCACGATGAGATTGGAAAAATTATTTTTTTTATTTCGGGGTTAATTTAACAGTATTTAAACAAATTGAATTGTTTATAATAACGTCACGTCTGTAGGAAAACGTCACGTACTACTTTTAAGCCGAAACGGAGTGCCGAATGCTCCGATGTTGCTGCCACCAGACCGAAATCAAAACTATTAGCGTAAGGCATCCTGACGTCGCGCGTTCGATTCAAAACTTCGTTTTTGTCTCTCGCATTGTGTGTTATTTATCTCACATGCTCCTTTATGTTTTTAATCTTATACAAATGGGTTATCGCCAAAAATAATGAAAGTTTACAGTTTTGTCCCAGAACTACCTGACAGAAGGAATCCATTTGACGTGTTGGTAATACCTAGAACACCAAGCATGTTCTAATAATAATTAGACAACATTGACTATTACATATAATAATATTGTTACGTTGAACGGATGAATAAAATCGGCATAGGTTAAACTCAACAACCAGTTCGATCAATTAAAAAATATGGCTGAGAAATATCGTAAAAAAAGCACCAGTGTATGTTTTCTTTTCAAGTTTTTTGAGTCATAACCATCATAGAATCCCTTGAAAATTCGCACATGGATAAAATATCACTTTTTACAGGGCGCAGAGGCATTAAATGTTTGTTAGTGGTACAATTTGTTTAAATAATAATGTGTTTATTAAAATCAAAATATATCACAAATTAATGCAAAATACGTCGAATAATTTTAACAGGAATATCAGAGGAAAATTAATGATCTATTGGTTAGCAGAGTTTTTAATAGAAACTAACAATTATTGAAAAAAATGGGTATCAATTCGACAGAATTTGAGCAGTTAGTTCAGTACTTTGCCGATAGGAGCGCCACTAAAATTTACGATTTACGAGTGTGTAATTTATCATCCTATTCATATTTTTTGGATTCGGATATACTCAAAAAATCTAATGAATGCGCAAACTTATTTTATTAATTTAATCAGGAACTACAAAACCGAATGCTTTGAAATCTTGGAAATGTTTTAAATTTATCATAAGCATGGTAAATTTTTTATCAAAATATATTTGCTCATCCCTCCTAAAAAATGGATGACGCCACCCCAAAATTTTGCTGAATAAATCCTATCTATATTGTATAAAATATGATGAGTCTCTTCTTGTGATTTATCATTCCATTCATGTTTTTTGGATTTGCATATACAGGATGACCCCAAAAATTAATGAATGCGTAAATTTATTTTATTGAGTTAATCAGAAACTACAGAACCTCATGCTTTGAAATCTTGCAAATGTTTTAAGGTTATAAAGAGCATAATAAATTTTTAGTCAAAATATATTTGGTTATCTTCTCCAAAAAATTCATGACGCCAGCTTAAAAGTTTGCCGTATAATCCTATTTAAAATGTACAAAATATGATGAGTTTCTTCTTGTAATTTATCATTCCATTCATATTTTTTGGATTCGGATATACAGGGTGACTCAAAAAATTTAATGAATGCGCAAATTTATTTTATTGATTTAATCAGGAACTACAAAACCGAGTGCTTTGAAATCTAATGTGAAAAAAAAACATAATAGGCATGCAGTCGTCACGTTTCCGATAGCGAGGGAAGTACTGTTTAAACTCTTTAGACCAATTTTTTTGATTTTCCCATTTCTCAATTTTACAATGTTTCAGTTTGGGATTTTTTCACTGTTTCGATTCTTTAATTTTCCTTCCATTTTTAGGTTTTTCAATATTTCAGCTTTGGAATTTTGCAATATTTCGTTTCTTCAATTTTTCAAATTTTTGATATTGTGTTTTCTCGGTTTTTAAATTTTTCGATATTTTAATTTTTCAGTTTTTAAAGTTTTAGGTTTTTAGATTTCTCACTATCTCGACTTTTCGATTTTTCAGTTCAATGATTTGTCGAATTTTTAAATTTTAGATTTTTTGTTTTCTTTGATGTTTTGAGTTCTCGATCATTCGATTTTCTGAGTTTGCAGGCTTGGATTTTTAAAATTTTTGTTTTTTAAATTTTCCTATTTATCAACTTACTGGGATTTCAATGTTTTGATTTTTTGATTGTTCAATTTCTCGATTTTTTGAATTTTTAGTTTTTGATACGATTTTTTTTTTTAATTTTCAGTTTTCCAATTTATTAACATTACGATACTTCAGTTTTGTTCGATTTCGATTTCTCAATTTTTCGACATATTACTATTGGGATTTTTCAATTTATAGATTCTTCGATTTCTCGATTCTTCATATTTTCGGTTTCTCGAATTTCTTCATTTTTCGATTTCTCAATTTTCCGATATTTCAGTTTTACGATTTTTAAATTTTTTTATTTTTCAGTTTTCAATTTTTGACGTTTCTAAATTTTTCGATTTTTCAATTTTTCGATTAACTGATTTTTTGATTTTCCCATTTCTCTATGTCTTGATTTTTCAATTCTTTCTTCGATTGTGATTTTTCAATTTTTCGATTTCTGAATTTTTCAATGTTTCAGTTTTGGATTTTTTCACTTTTCTGATTCTTCAATTTTCTTTCCATTTTTCAGTTTTTCAAGATTTCAGTTTTGAATTTTTTCACTTTTTCGATTTTTCAATTTTCCTTCCATTTTTCAGTATTTCAGTTCTGGGATTTTGCAATGTTTCGGTTCTTCAATTTTTCCATTTTTTGATGTTTCGATTTCTCGGTTTTTCAACTTTTCGATAGGTATTTTAATTTTTCAATTTTTAAGTTCTAGATTTTCCGTTAATTTTTTTGTTTTCCTTGATGTTTTGATTTCTCGATTATTCGATTTTTCAAGTTCTCGGTTTAGATTTTTTGGTTTTTCAATTCTTCGATTTTTAAATTGTTTAATTTTTAGATTGTTCAATTTCTAGATTTATAGATTTTTCAATTTTTCGGTTTACCGATTTTGTTCATTTAAAATGTTTCAATTTTTCAATTAGTAAGTTTTTGATTTTTCAATTTTGGTGTAATTTGAAAACGGTATCAATAATACATGAAATAAGGATTTTGCAGTTAAGCTCCGCCCTCTTGGCTCACGACGAATAAAAAAAATCACCACAATTAAGACGGGGTGGGTGGGCGGGGTTTTTATATTTTGCCTTTTTTTCTTAATATACATAGTATTCTTTGAACAACACGATACTCAAAAACATGTGTTTCTTGTAAAAAAAGATGGCTATGTATATTAAGAAAAAAAAAGACAAAATATAAGCCCCGCCCACCCGCCCTGTCTCGATTCTGATGATTCTTTTTATTCGTCGTGAACCAAGAGGGCGGAGCTTAACTGCAAAATCCTTATTTCATGACAAAAATTACCATTTGAAACGTGTTTTAGGTTTCTAAGAATAAAAAACCATGACAATTGGGATGGGGTGGGTGGGCGGGGTTTATATGTTGCCTTTTTTTCTTATTATACATAGTATTCTTTGAATGTGATATTCAAAAAAATGTTATTAATTTCTTGTAAATAAATAAGTATTTTGCAGTTAAGCTCCGCCCTCTTGGTTCTCGGTGAATAAAAAAATCATCACAATTGAGATTGGGTGGGTGGGCGGGCTTTCATTTTGTTTTTTTTTGTTTTAATATGTGTAGCCATCTTTTCACAACAAGAAACGCAAAACACATGTTTAAAATGGAAAGTTTGTATAAGGAAATATAGATTTTGCAATTAGGCTGCGCCCTATGTTTTAAGTTTCTTGTTGTGAAAAGATGGCTATGTATATTAAGAAAAAAAAGGGCAAAATATAATAATAAACTTATAGACGGGTTTGATAAGCCTTGTTTGCTCTACAGTGTCTAAATTGTGTTTGAATAATATAATAATTATCTCGAATATTAAAATTAATATGTCAAAAGAATACGAGAAATGATTATTCTGTGCTGAAGGTATGTTGTGGGCCGCCTGCTATAAATTATCATTCTTCTGCATTATCGGCTTAGGATGTTTTTATGAGCCACGTCCGGTAGTCGTCTATCCCAGCGCGTCAGGTAGATTTAAAGAAGAATTGCTGGTTGCGTTTAAGGCAACAAATGGCGCCCAATTCAAACTTGTGTCTTGTCTAGCGTTCCCCCTTAAGGGAATACAGCTCTCGTTGCCTGGACTACACTAACTGCTCCCGACGGTGGTTCCCATTTAAACAGCACGTGGTCCTTCTGGAAACACCTACGTCACCGCTTCCAGGCTTTTCTGTAGCGAACGCCATCCGGCCGCGTCATCGGCGATGAGTCACCCGTCATTGCCGTACATAGGAGAAAGCTCTCGACAGCCCAGAGGCGTCGAACCGAGGCGGCGTATGGGTTTATTTTGTAACAATATATAGGGTTAGTATAAAGTCCCGGAACGGTCGAATCACATTTGAATAATTTGAATTTGAAAAAAAATTCAATCAAGAAAATCGTTAAACATAGGCAACCATGTGTACGCTTAGTTCCTTGTTGGTAGTTGGTAGTTTTGCTAGGGAATTTGTAGATAGAGGGTTGGTAGTGCAGTTGTCTTCAATCGGCACAAATTAGTCGTGTTTTTTTTTTGTTAGTAGAAAAATACATGATTTTGTGTCCTCCATATATTTTGTTTCATTTAGCGGTACTTTTCCAACATTGGGGTCCACCACTTGCATCTGAACGCATTCCGTCACACAAAAAAACACAACGTAGGGTTCCATTTTGTCAGACGGTTATATCCAAAGTCAAATTTTTTGAATTTTTGAATTTTTCGCGGGCAATTTTTTTCACAGGTCAATTTAAGGCGGCAGTTTGGATTATCACAGTGTAAAAAGTAATTGTTAAAATAAGGCATTACTTTTTAAAAGTAATGAATTACTATTGTTAATCTCAACACATGGAAGCTGGTTGAAAATACGACTTCAAAACATCAGACACGAATGTGTCTATGGTACCAATATTTAAGAATGCCTTTTCATATGAAACCGATTAAAATTGTAAAACAAAATACGTAGCGTTATTTATGCACCAAGTTTTAACAGAAACAGTGTGATGCATATCGTAAAAGTACACTATTTATTATAAAACATATATTTTTTCTATCTATTAATAGTGGTGTAATTTTAGACACGATGTCATTCACCGGCACTTCGAAGGACAACCAGTAAACGTCAAACGTAACCTCCGAAAAATAAAGTTGCCTGTCATAGTAAAAAGCCTAAAAACTAGACAAAAATGACGAAAAAATTTAAACTAAGTGCTTCTCTGTATGGACATTCATTGGATGTAAGAAGCGTTGCTGTCACTTCCAACAATTCAATAGTTAGTGGCTCACGAGATAAAACTGCAAAATTTTGGAGCCCTAATAGGTAAGCCAAATTATAATAATAATCTAATGGACTTTGTAATTTCACAATTTTAGAATTGATACCGGTTACACGCCTATACAGACTTACCGAGATCAGAAAAACTTTGTCATTGCGGTTCTGTATTTGGAACCCACCGATGAGTACTCAGACGGTTTAGTTGTAACAGGGGGAAATGACAATATGATTAATGTTTATAAACCATCGGAACCGTTTACTACATTTACTTTTAAAGAACATTCTAACGCTGGTGAGTTGTTGGAATTTTATACAGTTGTGGAGCAAAACTCTGGGTCAGTCAATGTTGCTTCATATAATATTTAGTGTATTGAATCCATATGTTTGACAATTTTACCCATAACAGAATTTATTTTTTGGCCAAAATAATTTTCAATTTCATGTGGCCCCAAGTAGTATTGATAGTTAATTTGCACCATTTCTAAGTTATCAATCAAAGAAAAATCCAAATTAAATTTTATACCCCATGTTAACTTATGTTTGAGTAAAGGTTCAGAGTTGAAATTTTTACTGGATGTAATTTGGGTTATCTTTTGTTGATTTTATTAAAGGTTATACTTTAAAGGATATTTCTTTTAAAAAATTAAATTGTTTAAGTATTTTTGTCGATAATATTGTAGGCAACTATGTAAAAACTCATCAAATAATGTTTAACATAGGGTCTAAAATTTAACATGGGAATCTCTACGGCCACTTTTTTCGACGTTTTATGACCCGTAGAGTACGAAAAAGTAGGTCTGCATTTCCGTCTGTCATCTGTCTATATCAATTTTTATTTGACAGACAATACAGATTGTTATTAAATTTTATAAGTATATTAAGAATATCGTGTAGATGGTAAATCGCTAATCAAACTTTGGCTAATTATTTCCACCAGTAATGAATGGCAAGACGTCATCTACAAAATTACAAAATTTTGTGAATCTATATATATATATATATACATCTTTCTATCAAACCTGATCCACTCATTGGAACATACTATACTAATCCAGTGGTTTGTATTATTACCACTGGAGTAAATTTATGCCACATAAGCTTATTTCCCGCCATTATTACGAATTTTGTCATATACATTTCGAAATAATTAAGTATAAATAAGTTGTGCGCATCGAATATTTTTCTCTATAGTACTATCCTAAGCCATACGTATTTTTCTAGCAAACCTGATCCAAAATATACAGATTTATTCACATGTTTGTTACAAGCTGAGCCAGGGCAGTGTTGCCGTGTTACAACACGACAGTCTGTAATAATAACAGAGTGAAGGCTTTTGACTTTCAAATGACGAATGGTTTTCGGTTATGTTGATTGAAATCGGTAGAGGCGAGAGACTTTCGTGTAATGGTTAAACAGAGTAATTGCTGTTATCTTTCTTTTTACTTCTCGAACGTAAACTAATGAAGTATTGTAATAGGATCTATCCGACGAATGGCTACTTTCCTGTTTTCTCATTTTATGACCCTTAAAATACGAAAAAGCAGATCCCCCGTTTTTATCGACCTGTCGTCTGTGTCGACTTTCATTTGGCAAATAATTTTGGAAAATACCGGATCGATTGTTTTCAATTCTGTATGCATGTTCGGAAGATCGTTTAGATGGTAAAAAGCTACAAAAATTTGCTTCATCCTCCCCACCAACAATGGCATGACGTGTGGTTTATGAATCCATGTTTAGTTTTTACCCTAGACATCCAGATTTTTGTAAAAATCAAAATTTTATGGCAATATTTTACAATTTATTTGAAACTGCACAACCAAATGTTTTGCAATCTTGCAAGCCTTTTAAAATTATCGTAAGTATGGTAAATCGTTAATCAAAATTTATCCATTTATCCTCTCCCAAAAAATGTATCACATCGTCTCAAAATTTTGCCGAAAAAATCTTATACCAGGTGTCTGGAAAATGGGGGATTACCTCTCCAACAATCAACTGGTAAATAGGAGAAAAATAGTAAAAAAAATTCTTCTCACATTTTGGTAGACTTATAATGATTTTAAAATTGGTTCTTTAGCTATGTTTAACAACTAAACAACACATGCATTATCACAATAACTAGTAATAAAACTTTTAGTTAATATTTCTCTCGTCCATGACGATATTTAATTACCATTTCAGTTAGAGTGTACAAAAGATTGGTCGTGTTTTTGTAACATATAAATTTGATAAAAATCCATTTGACGGCAATGTTTGCCTGATATAAAGCGAAGGTATAAATCAGTGAAAATCGAGTAAGCAATTAAATGATGTTTGACGTATCAAAAATGACAAAGTTTTCAAAACTCTGCGTTTAAAATGTTCGCAGTTTATTTTAGGTCCCCTGGTGTTTTATTTTCGGATAAATTTAAAGAAATCTTGTGTTTTGTTGCTCGATGAAAATGAAAATCTTTTGAGCTTTTAGTGTTTTACTTTTTACGAATTTGAAAAAGTCTTGAGTGCTGAAGTGTTTGGTACCCATGGTGTATTATTTTGGGAGCCCATGGAGATTTTTTTGTAAATTATTTAAAAGGGGGACTTTGGGATTCTATTATTGGAAAATCCTGACCTGACCTGTTTTTAAGTTCATTTTGGGACCCCGTTTTTTTTTTTTTTAATTTAAAACAATCTTGAGGTTCTAGGTATTCCTGTTTGGAAAGAATTTAAAAGTGCTTTGGAGCCTCTAGTGTCTTTTCTTATAATAATTTAACTAAATTTCTTGGAGGATATGTCATTTGCTAAAATCAGTCTTATCTTAGCAGGTACTAGCTTCACCCGCCCGCCTTCTATTTTCTTAGAGAATATGTCATTTGCCAAAATCGGTCTTATTTTAGTAGCAACCACTCTCCCACCCTCTCTTTTCTTAGGGAGTAGCTCATTTGCCAAAATCAATGTTATCTTAGCAAGTACTGATGACTAACCTTTACAAAAAAAGATGAAAATTTGGAAATATTACGAGCTTACTTATATGCACAAGGCAGGAATTTTGAATATCTTCTCTAGTGTTTAGTTGGTTATGCTTTAATGGATTTTTCTTTTGTTGGTTTTGTCTTTGTTTATAATTTATAAATGTTCTATATTTTTTTTGAAAAATAACAGCTTGTTTTATTAATAATAATACACGATTAATGACTGGTTGTTATGGTCATTATCCTAAAAAACGTAAAAGGTGGATTTTAGTCACCATCGATACTAAGAAATCAGAAAGTACGTCGAAGGTATTCACACATTAGCTGCCAATTTTACTTTTATGAAATTAAACTTTTTTTTGTAATCTACACCACAAAGATATAAAATATGTAAAATTTTATGTTTATACGTGCGGTTTATCAGTGTATTTATATTTTTTAGCATTACTTATGCAGGGTGACCCCCAAAAGAAAGGGAGATTCTAGTTATCACCTATAGCCCCTAGAAATACATTTTCTAAGGGCTATATTGTCACCTTAGTTGGTCGATTATTTTATATTACGTCCGAATCGTCATCCGGGGTGTTACGAGTTGTCTTCAGGCTTACAGAAAAATTTTAAGCCAATGCCGTTAAACTCAATTAAGGAATCTTTTTGGTAGGCATTTGGATAGACGAAGATTCGCGATTCCTTCCTAGTATATGGGCTAAACGTTCAATATCTTTTCAATGAATATATTGTGAATCTTTTCATTCCTAATATAATGTCTCATTCTATGTAGCTCATCCAAACATACATAGATATACCAGTTATTAAATGTTTTATCAAATTTTCAAACAGACATTTGTAGTAAAATTAGTAAAGAATTTAATAAACGTGTCTGATCATCCCCACCAACGTGACGTTATCTCAAAATTTTGCAAAAAAATACTACCTAAATTTTATAAAATGACACTTCTCCCTATACACGTGGTTTATGAATACGCCTTAATTTTTTATTCTGTATATCCGGATTTTTAGAAGAATAATCAAATTTTATAATTTAACTTAGAAACTGCAAACCCGAATGCTCTGAAATATTACAATCGTTTTAAGGTTACCGTAAGCATTGTAAATCAATAATGAAAATTCAAGTTTTCTACCCATCCAAAAATTTTATGATGTCCATTTCAAAATTTTGCTGAGTAAAGTTTATCTAAACGTAAGGAAAATATTAGGGACCCTACAGTTCTAATTTACCAGTTATTTATACTTTTCAGAATTGCTTATAGTTGCTTACCACATTTTTAAAATACTGTGGTGTTGTTGTTACTTGTCCAAATTGATATTGATATTAAAAAACGAATAACATGTTTCTGTCCCTGTAGTTTAACAGGCCAGACATAAATATGATTATTTTAATTTATTAATGTTATACTTTATTATTTTTCCAAGAATTGTTTAATTACGCTTCAGGGGCGACGGAAATTTTATGCACATAATTTTGGACCAACTTTTTCAATTTTCAACAACAGTATAATTAAGTACATAAGTTTTAAATCGAGATAGGTTATACGATTTTTATCCACATTATTGTGTCATCATAAACATCCGGAGTTCCTTGACATTTTTGCAATTGGAACTATTGGTTGTTGTTGATTGGGGGTGTCAAATGAAGTTTTTTCAATATTGCTGGACAAATAAGAAATATCTAAATTCATAACTAACTAACTGCAACCGATAACAATTAGGGCGGTCAAAAGAAATACCACAGAACCTTGCTATTTACTTACATCTCTACACTATCCTGACTAGAAATAGGTAGTGGGATATATTTGAGGATGCTCTCCGGGTTCCTGAAGGACTTTTATATCAGAATAATTACTAATTTTTGTAGAACCTATCAACATATTATCGAATTTTCCATCGCTGTTGTTGATATAAATTCGTACAAAATTTAATTTTTTTATGCAGTAATTTTTATTTTAATGGCATTTTATTTTTAAACTTTAGTGCACATTGAGCGATGTCGTTTTTAATACTTTTTCATGTGCCCTGTTGCATTAATTTAAATAGGACTCGTCTCTGGTTTAAATTTCAAGTTAATCTAATTCAAATTTGTCCTGCAATTGGATTCTATTGAGGAAAAATATATAATAATTATTATTATTTTAAATGACAATGCAGTTAAGACAAAAAGTTCTAGGATATATCTAGGAAAAAATTGAACTATTCACAATTCCACGTGCATTTGTAGCGGAGACAGTACATTAATAGTATATTACGTAATAAGAGTTGTAAGAAGCATCTTACGCACGAATGGAAAAAGTTGCGCACGAGCCGCGAAGCGGCGAGTGCGTATTTCCATGAGTGCGTAAGGGCTTTACAACTCGAATTATGTACTATACTTTTTCTACGAGCACAGACAAAGAAAAACATATTTTCTATCATTTTATTCATAAACATTAATATTTTAGTTTTATTAGATATTGTAATTATTTGTAGTAATTGTTTATTGTCACTGAACAGTTGTTAAACACAAGGGAATGGTCGGTAGTATTAGTTTTGTGGCTACTTGTACTCTGACTACAGGATGCAGTCACATTATGTTCTGAAATAGTGACATGATTATTTGATGTAGTAGGACTGTTGTTTATCGCAGATGCGATTTTTAGTGAATTGTCGGTTTTATTTTTCACTGAATTATCTACATAGCCCTCAGCTACCGAGGACGACCGCCATCCACCATGCCTTTTTAATGCTAGTAAATCACCACCAGCATCAACTAGGATGGTGGCAGACGATCGCCTGAAACAATGACCAGTGTATTGTTTTGGATCTGGTAAACCAAGATATTCTGCTATATTTTTTGGTACACTACCAATCTTATTTATGCCGACACACTGCTTTGTGCATTTTTGGTTTATGTAATTTAAAAAAAAAGGTAGTGATTTTGTATCATCTCCTGAAGGACGTAAGTTCATATACTTCTTACAAGTTGGATAAAAAGTTTTAGGTACAACAAAAGAACGTTGAGTTTTTGTTTTTGAATCAGGAATGGTGATAATTAATGATTCTCCAGTATCTTGCACATGTTCAGGTTTAATATTTCGCAATTCCTGTTTTCTGCATGCACCACTAACCGCAATGATAAGAACCACCTAAAACAAAATGTTATATTTATGAGGTTATAACATAGATGTGAGATACCTTCATAAATAGATATTGCGTATCTGGAGCATTTTGTAAAAAATCATTTATATTTTTGCTTGTTAAAGTTTTTGACTTTTTGCTCTTAAAGCCATCTGCTTTTCTTTTTAGTAGAGCTATTAATTTAGGATAAGTGGCAATGTTGATTTTGTCATGTTTTATGTTTATTGTAGCCCTTAACATTGAATATATCGCCCAAAGAGAAGATGGTTTCATTGTAGTTGACAACTCTTCAAAATATGCCAACATTACGTTTTCTGACAACGAATTTACTTTATTTTTTAATTTCCACTCTATAAATTTGTGGTAGACGGTTTCATACCTATCACGCGACTTTTTTGGCAATAGATTTTCGATAGCCGTTTTGGCCTTTTCAATTATTTCCGGCGGCGTGCACATTAATTCATCACTATCGCTAGACATTTTAGACTACAATTAAATAAAATCCGTAAAAAGAGAGAAATGTTGATATTTTTTGCAATAAATGTTACCTTGTTCGTTTTCTTGTTTTCAAATTCTTTGATTATGCCTCTTTTATTAACAGTAACGCTGACAGTGCTTCACAATTTTGTATTTGCCTGTCCGTCTGTCATTTTCACTACCAACCTAAATTGAATAAATCGAAAAATCCCTAACTGTGCGATCTGCTTTCCTTACGCACGCTGTGCGTAAGGACAGGCATACATGATTAGCGAGTTGTGTGATCTTAACGATTTACAGTGGTGATCGTAGAAAAATACACTTTAAACACCTCTCCAGTGTTGCCACGTCAAATGGCTTAGGATAGTATGGTTTGTGTGATATACATGTATATCGATGGCAGCGCCATCCTACAAATTTAAGGAAAGTTGCTGAACTAAATTTATCAGAAATCATACAAAACTGAGCCAACGTAAAATTTTAACAGCACCCTCTGGTGGACTTAATTCAACCATTTCTATTAAAAAACAATCCTGAGCCATATATATGGCTCAGGATTGCAACGATGGCTCAGGATTGTGCGTACAAGTTCCTATGTTTGGATCAGCTTTGTATGGTTCCTAAAAATACTACAATCACTGAAAATATATACTAATAAAATTTTACAACCAAAGTCAAAAACCAAACCCACAAAACTCGAACACCATAAATTTGGGACAATACAAGGCCGTACTTTTAACAAATGAAACTCGGTAATTTCTGTAACAAATTGTGTTGAAAAAAATCAGACGACTTTACTTTTACTTATGTTTGATGAAACAAGTAATCCAAAAATGAAGCAAATTATTTAGTCGTTTTGTCTGTCGTTGCAGTCGACTAATTATACACAGTATTTTGACTGAATGCAACTCTGGGACAGAATCTTATACAGGGGAACTAAAAAAAATAATGAGGCAGTGTATTTTATTGATCAAATCAAGAACGATTCACCCCATTTTCTCGAAAATTTGAGAGTAGCATAATGTTGCGCCTACCTATATTTAATAATAATAAAGTAATTATTATCATAATTATCCAAAATAATATCCAGAACGTTTTGTTCGATTGTAGCGATGGTACCAACAATAATTAATTATTAGCCTTCTCTATATTTGAGGACACAAAGTCAATCAAATTTATTTTTACTTTAACACGCCGTCGGGACTGTTAAAGTGGACAAGCACTACATACATATCCCTAATCAGGCGTTTTTTTTTTTCGTTTTTCTTGTTAAATGAACTGAAAATTAATATATTGCAATTAAAATATGCATTTTTCAGTTTCCGGGTGGTTTCAATCTCATTTTTTGTTTGTAGTTAGCTGTTTTTCAAAGTATTCAACGAAGAACTCATTTCTGAGTGGATCGTGGGACTGTTCAGCGAAATTGTGGATTGCTGGTAAGCCCAATTCGGTGATAACATTCACGGGTCATTCAGCTGCCATTTGGGCAATCATCCAGTTGAAGAATTCTAACGTTGTCACGGCTTCGGCAGATAAAACTATTATTTTGTGGAATAGTAACGGAACACGAATAAATTCACTAAGTGGACATTCTGATTGTGTGAGAGGGCTGTTAGATCTACCTGAGCTGAATCAGTTTGTTTCGGTGGCCAACGATGCAACGATCCGAACTTGGTCCTACGCTGGAGAAACGCTTAACATTTTATATGGACACACTAATTACATATACAGGTTTATTATATTTATGAATGTGAAATTTCAAAAAAAACTTATCGTTTTTAGCATCGCGAGATGTAAAGCTGCAGGTGATAATTCCTTCGTGACGTCAGACGAGGATCGAACTGTTCGATTTTGGCATAATGGAGAAAACGTAGAACACTTTCAACTACCAGCGCAATCGGTTTGGTCCGTCGGTTGTTTGTCTAATGGTGATATCGTCACGGGTTCAAGCGACGGCGTAGTCAGGGTTTTCACTCAAAACGAAAGCCGATTTGCTGATGAAGCCACTTTGAATAAATTCAACGAGGAAGTGGAAGCTTTAACTAAGCAAAGCAGCCAAGAAATCGGCGGAGTCAAGATATCAGAGTGTGTAACAGTGTTTTTAATTATACTAAAATTACGCTCTGTTTAGTTTGCCAGGTAGAGAAGCGCTGTACGATCCAGGGCGGAAAGCTGGACAGATGAAAATGATTCGGGAGAGCGGAGGAGTAGTAGCGTACACTTGGGTGGAGGACGGCGATAAAAGTCATTGGGAAAAAGTCGGAGACGTGCTTGGAAGCACAGATAAAACTAGTCAAGATAAAACAATGTACGAGGGTAAACCATACGATTTTGTCTTTACGGTGGATGTGGAAGACGGAAAGCCTCCTTTGAAACTACCGTACAATAAAGGAGACGATCCGTATCAAGCGGCTCATAATTTTCTGGCGAAAAATATGTTGCCGTCGTCGTATTTGGAACAAGTGGTCGATTTTGTTTTGAAAAACACTCAAGAGCAATATGTGCCACCTAGCACGGAGTATGTTGATCCTTTTACGGGAGCCTCGAGATACACCCCTGCTGGCGGTAATAGCGGTCAAGGGTTCACTGGAGCCAATTTGGACCCATTTACAGGTAGGTACCAATTTATTCGAATTGTGTCACAGAGGTATATAAACGTATTTAATTTTTAATGTGTTGCGAAAAATACCCCAGAACATAACTAATTTATTTAAAATCCGATCTGAGTCAACAACAATAATACTAGTACTGTACTTTTTTTTTCTTAAGAATCCTTATTAGACATAGTTTGTCCCTCTTTTATTAAAATTTGATTTTAGATGCTATTTTTTTTGTGAAAAAAAAAATGGAAAAGTTGACCATTTTTTGTCATTATCAAATAATAAAATGCTCACCAAAATTTGTCACCAACAATGAAATGACGTAATCTCTAAATTTTATAATAGTAGATGTAATTTAAATTTTATATTCTCCGTTTATGGTTTATGAATCCGTGTTAAGTTTCTACTTAGGATGTAAAGATTTTTGGGAAAAAATCAACATTTTCCAATTTATAGTTGGAAGCATGTTACATCGTTAGTCAAGATTTATCCGTTGATGGCCCCCACGAATTGATGATGTCATCTTACAATTTGTCGAATAATGTTATTTAAATATTAAAAAGTAGCATAGTCCTGAACTTGTGGTTTATAAATACGCTATTGAGATTTTTCGGCCTTTCGATTTCTCGATTCTTCAACTTTATTTCTTAATTTTTCAATATTTCAATTTTGTACTTTTTCAATTGTTCTTCAAAGTTTCGATTTCTCGATTTTTTTATTTTTCGATTTCTTAATTTTCTTATATTTCAATGATACGATTTCTCAATTTTTATCCTCTTAAATTTTACGATTTTTAAATATTTCGATTTCCGTTTTCTGAAATAATCTTTTTTTTTATTTACACATTTCTCGACTTCCCAAAGTTTCGATTTTTCACTTCTTTAATTTTTCAATTTTTCAGGTTTTTGATTTTTCAATTTTTCGATTATTTAAGCTTACGATTTTTCGACTTTACTTTTTTAGTTTTTCGATTTCTCAATTTTCCAATTTTTCAATTTCTCAATTTTTTTAATATTTGTTTCAGTTGGGATTTTTCTATATTTCGATGTTTGGTCTTTTCGATTTTTAGACTCCTGGATTTTTTGATTTCTCGTTTTCTTACTTTTTGGATTTTCAATTGTTCGTTAAACCTTAGATTTTTCAATTTTTGGGCTGTTTTATTCTTCGATTTCTCAATTTTTTAACTTTTCGATGATTTGATTTTTTAAATTTTTAAAATTCGAAGTTTTTCGATTTCTCGAGTTTTCAGTTTTTCTTTATTTCAATTTTTCAATTTTCCGAATTTTTAAATTTTCGATTTTTCAATTTCTTAAGTTCTCGATTTATCTAATTCAGATGTTTCGATGTTTTAATTGTTCAATGTTTCAATTCACCAATTTTTCAATTTTTAACTTTTCTTCTCGTTTTTCGACTCCTGAATTTCTCGGTTCTCTGATTTTTCGATTTCTCGATGTCTCACTTTTTGAATTGTTCGATGTTTCCATTTTCCAATTTTTTCGATGTTTCGATTTGTTGATTTTTCAGTTTTTCGACTTTTAAATTTTAGATTTTCGAATTTTTATTTTTTGATTTTTTGATGTTTGGATTTCTCGATTTTTCAGTTTTGCAATATTTTAATTGTTCAATGTTTTAAATTTAAGATTTTTCAATTTAATTTTTCAAATTTTGACGTTGCTAAATTTTCAGTTTGCTTGTGGCTCAATTAATCTATTTTTGATTTTCCCATTTCTCGACTTCTCAAGTTTCGATTTATCTAATCTTCAATTCTTCGATTTTTCGACTTTTCTTTTTTGGTTTTTCGATTTCTCAATTTTTTAATTTCTCAATTTTCTGGATATTTCGTTCAGTTTTGTGATTTTTCAATATTTCGATTATTCGACTTTTCGAGCATAGTCCTGAACTTGTGGTTTATAAATACTCTAGTAAGATTTTTCGGTTTTTGGATTTCTCGATTTTTCAACTTTTGATGTTTCAGGATTTCAATTTTTGCATTCTTCAAATTTTCGATTCCTCGATTTTTTTATTTTTCGATTTTTCAATGGTTCGATTTCTAAATATTTCGATTTTTCAATGTTTCAAATTTTGACGGTTTTTTTTAGATTTACCTGAAGTAATCTTTTTTTTAATTTTCCCATTTCTCGACTTCCAGTTTCGAGTTTTCACTTTTTCAATGCTTCAGTTTACCGATTTTTCAGATTTTTGATTTTTCAGTTTTTCGATTTTTTAAGCTTACGATTTTTCGACTTTGCTTTTTTAGTTTTTCGTTTTTTCAATTTTTTAATTTATCAATTTTGGATATTTCTTCAGTTATGGGATTCTTCAATATTTCGACTTTTCGATTTTTGGACTCCTGGATTTATTGATTTCTCTATTTTTACATTTTGGATTTTCAATTTTTAGTTAAACTTTAGATTTTTTAATTTTCGACTGTTTTATAATGCGATTTCTCAATTTTTCAACTTTTCGATGTTTTAGTTTTTCAATTTTCGGAATTTTAAAATTTTCGATTTTCCAATTTTTTAAAATTTTTCAATTTTTCGATGTTTCGATTTTTCAATTATCCCATTGTTCAGTTTCTCGATTTTTAAATTTTAGGTTTTCTAATTTTTGTTTTTTTGGTTTTTCAATATGTATTTGAATTTTTCAATGTTTTAAATTTTAGATTTTTCGATTTTTCAGTTCTTCAATATTTCTATTTTTCAATTTTTTAATTTGCCGTCTTGGTTTCCGATTTTAAAAATGTTTCAACTTTTCGATTTTTAGATTTCCCGATTTTCAAGTTTTCGATTTCTCGATTTTTTTCAACATTATCAGTTTTGGGAACTTTTTAATTTCTGTTTTTTTTTAATTTTTCAATTTTTAAAATTTTTTATTTCTCAATAATTCTTATTTTAGTAGGTACTAGCCCCGCTCACCCTTTCTTTTCTTAGAGGGTATCTCGTTTGCCGAAATCAGTTTTTACTTAGCAGGTACTAGCCCCGCCCACCCACCCTATATTTTCTAGGAAGATAAGTCATTTGCCAAAACCCCTCTTATCAAGTACTAGCCCTGCCCACCCCCATTCTTCCTATTCTAAGTACTAATTTTATTTCTGCTGAGTTTAAGAACATCTATTTCATTCAGACCAGATAATTAATCACTGAAATAAAGGCAGATTGGGTGGGCGGAGCTAATTATGTTCCGCTCTGGAGTGGGGGTGCAAACCTATAGAATCTAGGATGTGAAAAAAATTAAAAAAAAGCACTGATAGTAAATTTTTTGTTATGTTGTTTGCTACTGGAACTGTAGGAATTGGCAAGTTTGGAAGAACGATAGAAATTTTCGAAGAAACGAAGACTTCGGATAATTTCCGAAAGTACTAGGCCGAGTGTTGTCAAATTTTGCATTTATATTAGGAATATCATGTAGATGGTAAAACGTTAACCAAAATATGTCTAATCACCCCCACCACTAATGCGATGATGTCACTTCAAAATTGTACATAGTAAATGGGCTTTAAATTGTATAAAATAACATAGTCCTACACACGTAGTTTATGACTCCGAATTGAGTTTTTACCCGAAACGTCCAGATTTTTGGAAAAAAAATCACAATTCTAAAACAACATTTTCCAATTTAATTTTGAATCTGCTAAACCGAATGCTTTAAAATCTTGCAGATGGTTTATAGTTGTGATAAGCATGATAAATTTTTGATCAAAATATATTTGCTTATCCCCTCCAAAAAATTGATGACATCAGCTCAAAAGTTTGCCGAATAAATCCTGTCTAAAATGTACAAAATATGATGAATCTATACTTGCGGTTTATCATTGCATTCATTTTTTGGATTTGCATATACAGGATGACTCAAAAAAATTAATGAATGCGTGAATCTATTTTATTGATTTAATCAGGTTGTAGTTTCCCCAAAATTTAAACTTTGTCGAGTAAACGAATCACGGAACCCGATAAATTAAAACTGAAGTCGTACTTACCCCGTTTTCGGTCCTTTCCGGAAAATATCAATTTTTCTTTGGAGTTCACAGCACTAACACAACACATTTTCCCTAATATTTATTAATAATAATTTAGAAATTCGCGAAATCGCTCTACTTTTACGTCAAAAGGACGCGACAATCTTGTCGCCATCAAACAGAAATTAAAACTGAACACAAAGGACCGAAAAACGTGACCTTTGGACGGATAGCTCACGTGACAGTGACGTCATCGTACGTACGATGAGATTGCAAAAATTATTTTTCATATTTTGGCCGGGAAAATTGCACATTTTCGTGAAAATTTATAGCTTTGATAACCAACTTCAATCGTTTCGAAAAATCCCTAAAATTTAAACTTTGTCGAGTAAACGAATCACGGAACATGATAAATTAAAACTGAAGTCGTACTTGTCCCGTTTTCGGTCCTTTTCGGAAACAACAGATTTTCACTAATATTTATTAATAATAAATTAGAAATTCACGAAAAGAAGTCTACATTTAAGCCAAAACGACGCCGATCTTGCCGCCATCAAACCGAAATCAAAACTAAACACAGAGGACCGAAAAATGTGACCCTTGCTCAGGTAGCTCACGTGACAGTGACGTCATCGTACGTCACGATGAGATTGCAAAAATTATTTTTCATACTTTGTCCGGGAAATTGCACATTTTCGGGGTTAATTTAACAATGTTTAAACACACTGATTTGTTTTTAATAACTTCGTGTTTCTAGAAAAACGGTTTTCAGTTGAAGTGTAATATATTAATATTTATCATATTTCAATATTATAAATAATATTAATTATGTTTAAATATTCTTTAATAATGTCATGATAATTTATAAACAGTGATTACACTAATTGATTTCACTAATAAAATTAAAAATCAACGAAAAGTTACAACACGAATGTATTTTATACATATATCAGGATCAATATTGTTAAAAAAAATGAAATTGTCACTTGATTTGTTTTTAAAAACTTCGTGTTTGTAGGAACACTCTTTTCTTTTTTCTGTTATAATTAACAATCAGATGTTTTTTCAAATTTTCCGTTATCACAAAAACGAAAAACGTTTTCGTCAATTGAAATAAGTTCAAGATAATATTTTATCCATGAATTTATTAAAGTTTATTATTATTTTTTTATCGAGATGGGTATGAGTGAAACTTATTCTTTGGCTTTTTATTTAACACATATATAGTATTCTTTGAACAACACGATACTCAAAAACATGTTTTACATGATACTTTCTTGTAGAGACGGAAGGATTTTAAGGTCTATCCTCTTGGCTTACGATGAATAAGGAAAGTCATCACAATTGAGATAGGCTGGGTGGGCGGGGCTTATAGTTTCCCTTTTTTTCTTAATGTTCGTAGTCTTTTCGCAACAGAAAACTTAATAATACTTTTCCAATAATAAAACGTGTTTAAATCAGGAAATATCGATTTTGTAATTACGCTCCGCCCCTCAGTCTGACAACGAATGGAAAATTCATCACGATTAAGAACCGAGATCGGGATGGGGCTTATCTTTTTTTTTTTTTTGTTTTCTTTTTGTTTTTTAGTTAATACATACAGTTTTCTCTTCTGTGAGCAACACCATCACTGAAGAACATGTTTCACATGGTATTGTAGAAAAGTACGGATTTTGAAATTAAGCTCCGCCCCCCTTGTCTAACGACGAATAAAGAAAAACCGTCACAATTGAGATAGGGTGGGTGGGTGGGGCTTATGTTTTGTATTTTTGTTTTTCTTCTTAATATATATTGTTTTTCCCCATAACAAGAAACTGAAAACATGTTTAAAATGAATTTTATCTCATACACTTGTCTACAAATTTACAATTTTAAACATGGTTTCAGCTTCTTGTCGTGAAAAGAAAAGTACGGATTATATTAAGAAAAAAAGGCTATGTTATTTGAAAGCTATCGGTTGACATCTTAGTGGTGTTCAATACGCCAGTTGATGTTTGATTGATTCAAATCGGGTTCTAAATAAAGTAGCTACGGCGCTAGGCTTTTTTGTGACACTCGGTATATTTTGATGAAGTATAAAACAAAATTTGCCAATTCGTTTTTAAATTATGTTCAAAATGTAGTAATTTTCATTAAATAGTAATAATTTTGGTAAAAATGTGCATTCACTTTTCTATTGTAGGCAATTCTTTTGTAAATGTAGCGTCATAATCGCAGACAAATTCGTTTTAACAAAAGATCATACCAACTCATCCTTTTTAGGTGGCAGCAGCTACTCAACTTCCGCTAATCAACCAAAGCCGAGTTCAACTACTGTTAGTTCTTCAGAGCAGGGCAGATTCTTCCCCATTAACTCATACAGAACCTTCGAAATGGGCGACTCTAACGTAATTTTAGGAAAACTGAAAGAATTTAATGGAAAAGGTGGCGATGGTAGCAATGAGTCAATTAATGAATCGTACTTAGAAGAATTGGTGAAAATATGCAACGGACCCCCCGATGATCCCAACTCGTTTGATATTTTGTTCAAACTGATGGATTGGCCCGACGAAATCGTGTTTCCCGTTATAGATGTGGTGAGAATGGCGGTGCGACATAAAAAAAATAACGAAGTAATAGCGAGAGCTAACAATGGAAGTATCCTTGAAAAGCTTTTGAGTTTTGTGAGTGAAAATTGTAAAATAGCGAATAATGTCGTTGTAGCTTTGCGAACTTTGAGTAATTTATTGATTCATGAGTATGGAGAACAGCTGGTGTTCGAGCACCGATTTGACATTGTAGAAAACGTGACCGCTTTAGGAGTTCTCAATAAGAATGGACAGGTTACATTTTAAAAATTGTTATTTCAAATAAATAAATTTGATTTTTAGATTGCTCTGGCTACACTTCTGCTCAATATATGTATTGTAAGTCTGAAGAAAAAAGACGACGTGGGTGTATCTGTGCTTGCCGACGTAGTTCCGGATATTTTAACCAAACTGAATGATCCTGAATCACAGTTTAGGGCATACGTCGCTCTGGGTACTCTCCTCACTGGAAGTAATTCTCTTCAAAGTGAAATAAAAACCAAAGTCAAGAGCAATTCTGGATTTGTTAGTGCCTTACAGTCACATTTGTTGTCAAGGCAAACAGATTTGGAAGAAAAACGAAGGAACTGTGCCAGTCAAGTGCAAGACATTCTTAATATAGGTTTCTAATCAATATATATTTAATAAATTCAGTTTTTTCTAGTTTATTAATTATTTACAAACAACCTACACAGTTTTAACGTATGAACTTACGCAGCTTCAATTTCCTTATTTTTCTGTTCACGAACTCTTAAACGTCGCTCGCGTTCATATTCTTTCATACGGATGACATAACTACAAAGGAAATTATTATTAAATGAACTTAAAACATAACATAAACTTACTCATCATATTTGCATGTTGCATAAACATGTTTCTCGTGTTCACAATTTACAACCCATGGCCAGTTTTCTTTGCGACAAGCCATAAATTTTAATAGGTGGTGAGCACAGTAATCGCGTTCGGACGGCGGTATTTTAGCAGACCTCATCTGTTCCTCAGTGGCCACCATTACTAACAGATAAAAGAAATTCAGTGTTCTTTTATAAAGCAAATTTTTAAATACCTCGCTCCTTACGACCGTTTTCAAAACCTAGGCAAGGGTCAAAAGTCGGTTCTTCATCAGGTCCTGGGGTTACCTCCGGTCTAAAATATAAGTTAAAGCCACTTTCTGGGAAATATCCGAATGCAGCCCCCATTGCTACTGTTTAAATAAATTATTAAATCAAAACAATCAAAACGTTTGGCAAATCAAATGAGGTTATGTAATCTAATGAACTTGTCAAAGAGATTTTATATTTTATGTGTAGAGGGAGCACAGTGCGTATTGTTTCGCACGTCATCTGTTGCGCTGATTATTATTTAAAGTTCGTCCAATCAAATTGGCAACTACAATTAGTTCATAAGCATTGCAATAGATGTCGATTTTTATAGGAACCTGTAACGGCTTATTTATCGTTAAAGTACACAGACCATTAGTGAGTGTTCTGTACAGACCATTAAGCAAATAGAAAGACGTTCAAAAACCACTACGATTTAATGTGGCGATTACAGCGCTGCTCGAGCTCCTGCATGAATTAAATCCACTGATTACTAGATTATAATTACTATAGTAGTAATTTTATTTTTAATTACAATTTTAATTCTATAAAAATGAAACTAAATTCAGTAATGAAAAACATATATTTGATAACAATGAGAAAATTACAAAACAACTCTCAAAGAAAAACAATTTCATTTCGAAATACCTAAAAAAAATAATTTAATTACAAACTGCTTTAAAAAAACTCTTGAAACTACGGGTAGGTGTTAATTTTAAAACCTATTTGAATTATTAATTCTTCTACGATTATGTACTTCAAATTGTTTTTGCAGATTGGTCAATTTTTTATTTATTATTAGACGCACTGCCAAATTAATAATTTCCGTTCTTAAATCAGCAATATGAATGTCACAGTTAATCCAAGTAAAGTTAATTGTTGCTGTTATATGTTCTTTTAAATTTCTTGCAATATTTGGAACTTCTCCAAAATTATCTAAAAAGAAGACTATGGTATCGTAAATCTCAGCTAAGCATGTTACAAATTCTTTTGTAGCATATTTCAACCTTAATTTTTGATCCTGTTCTTTGTAAAGAGTGAAAATATGATGTTCTTCGGTTTTTTGTGCAATTATACAATTTTTACAGTCTCTACATGTGATAGCTTTTAATTTTTTTATTAAAAAGCCACAAACATATGTAATAGCCTGAAGATCATATAAATCTTTAAATGCACCTCTATTAGTTGAGCTAGAATTTTCTAAATTTACCAACTCATTGATATTTTCTGTAAACTGAAAATTTGTTGGTTTTGATGACGAGGATAAAAATATTCTAATCTATTATTCTCTAATATTATCGAGAAGTTTCCCTACATCTTCTTCACAATTCTTACCATATGCTTGATATGCTATCAAATTATTCAAAATACTTGTTTTTAACGCCGATATAAATTGAAAACACGATGGATTACTATTTCCTGAACCGTATTGTCGTATCACTGAAAATAAATTTTCTAGAGGATCCTGATTCAACATTCTTGTTCGCAAAAATTTGAATTCATTTTTTTCACACATCTGCCAAAGAAGTCTAATTCCACGAATGTTATTTAACCAACCTTCTTTAAAGGGCATAGTTGTTTTGAATTGACCACGTACTTCGTCATAAAATTTCCAACTTTCGATTTTTTTTCCATTTTATTCCAAAAATCAAAATGACCAGATTTCTTTGTTAAAGCACATCTTAGCTTTGGATTGCAGTGGTTGTTACGCATATTAATACCAGTGGAGTTGAAACTGTCGAATAAATCATTTGCGTCTTTTACAAAGAAAGCCGTTTCGATTGCTTCTGAAGGAATATTTTCTTTTGAATCTATTAGAGTTTCAAGTGCAGCTGCCATACTGGCACTAAGTGTTTTTGCTGCAATTGACACTTTCATCTTTAATAATCTATATCTGTTCACGTAAAGAAAGGGTTCTCGGATTTTATGCAAAGTTTGAAATCTTCGAGTACTATCAAATTGATAAGCTTGTCTCAAATACATAAATTTAGCTTTCTTGGTTTCATCATAATAAATCGTATATTTAAGGAGAGCATTTCTTAATGATTTCAATAAATGGGGACTATCATATAAACATACAATTTTTTTGAATTTACCTTAAAGTATGGTTCTTTATATTCTACATTTGATTCTTCTTTTAACAAACGTAGAGCCTTTACATTCGAAGTGGCCTGATCACAAACGGTGCATATGACTTTTGCGCCGGCCATATTAAGTTTGCTAATAATTTCTTTAATTATTAGTTTTAATTTTATACTTTTAATAGAGTACTTAACAAAATAGTACGCTATTGGTTGTTTCCATCCGGAACTAATACCTTGTATCATAAATACTAACGCATGGTTAGCATAATTTTTATTTCGTCCTAAAGATCCCAAATCCTCAAAACCAATAATTTTGTCAGTAGATCTCGAATAGGTTAAATTTGTAGATAAAGACACTTCATCAAACATAAGCTTGCATAATCGATCTCTTGGTTCCAGTTTCTCAATTCTCATTTTTAACTTATCAAATAGTTCGTCATTCACGCCACATTCAAAAGGTATATTTTTCAAAAATTTGTACAAAGTTGTTTTTGACGGAAGTCTGAAAAAATGTTTTAAAAAGCGATAACATTTTGGACCTGTTTTGTACATAGCCAAGGCAAATATTTTATTTTCAGTTGACCATCTAGGAATTTTTTTTTTCATGTTATCAAATTGGGATTTTATGAAGCTTGCACTTACAGAATTGCAATTTTCTTGTAAAATGTTAATTAGATGATTTTGGGGAGCACGTTTTAGAAGATCCAAGTTTTTTTTTGATTTACATAATTTTAAATTTAATCTGTTTATTGCCTGTTTCTGGCGTTTTGTTATTCTAAATAAAGTTTGCTCTCTAGGAGTTAAGTCGTCCACTCTTTTGCATCCTACCTTTTTCAAAACACTGGGTGAATATTTTCTTTTTTTCGGAGTATGTGATATTGTCGTGAGAGTATCACAATGGCGTTTGCGTCTTTGTGAATTTACGCTACCATCATACTCAGATTCCGGAATAGTTCCGACTAAAAAAATTAAAATTTTATAATTTTTTTGTTCACTTTTACTGGAATACCCATCACCATTAGTATTAATCACAGCTTGACTACTGTCCTTAAAAATAGTGGGAATTGCGTATTTATGAAGGTTCGTTTGTGCGGTGCTCGTAAAGTAATTTTTACTGAAATGATCTTCACAAATGTAAGCTTTTTTACAATTAACAACAATTTTTTCTGTGCAGGAGGCATTAATGGTATCTATCCACTTTTGTTTTTGAACTGGAGATTTAGGAAAAATAAAAAAATGTTTATTTTTGTTCTTGTTGATTCCTGTTGCGTATACTGACGGACAATTTGGAACTTTGCATCGATATTTATTAATAATTTTCATTTCCGTTGTATCTGAAGCAAGTAAAACTATATTAATATGACTTAAAAATAGCAGATATAATAGCCATCAAACTTACTACTGAAAACCTTTTTAAAAAATTTTAATTTGGCGTTTGAATTTGAATGACGTTAAAGGAGATATTTGTTGACAGTAAACACGATCTATTACGAAATTTACACGAGTATAAGCGAATGAGTGTTTGCTCCAGCCGCTCGCGCAGCGCTAGTGTCGCTTCCTAGACTATACGATTAAATGGCAATGAACTGTCTTCCTATTTGTTTAATGGTCTGTGTTAAAGCAGAATGAGTAATATCACCATGTTCAAATTGTTCTTAATTTTGATACTTCCACCTTTTTATCAAAATTCTGTGTTCCATTTGTGTACTGAAAACACTTCGCTACAAATGTAACAATAAAAAAACTACTCAAAATAAATTTTTCAGCCAAATCCTTTAATAAACCCAAATACAAGCACAATGTAGTTATATGTAAAATACAATGAAATCAGATCATAACACATAATTTACACAATATCACCTCAATGTATAAAATTCCTTTAGGTACTTTTTATAACGTTATTAACCGCAACGGGAACAACCCTAAGACAACTCTCCTATCTTCTAGTACAATTACTTGCAGAAAGATTAAAAATCTCTGTAAAAGTTTAGAAACTTCTTCACGTTAGACGGCAGAGGCAGTTGTTGAATTTTACTTTTCATATGTACACTATACGGACTTACGTACATTTTCATCCGATGCAAGGCTTCGACGTACTCACTCTCACTATCACTTTTGTCCTCATTGTCAGTGCTCTCTCCACTATCACATTTTTTCGGGGCGTCTATTCTGTCGATTTTGCGCCACTTCGAACTCGACCTCTTCTCTTTGTCTTTCAGTCCTCTCTTACATCTCTTATTTTCCTGATCGTCGTCGCTGCTGCTCGACATGGTCTCCACCATGTCGACAGGCAATTCAGAAATCAAAACTTCGTCTCCCAATCCGCTGTCGAACTTATCTCTACTGTTCTTCTCTTTCTTCTCTGACTTCTCGTTATTTTCTTCTGGTACTTGTTCTTCCACGACCATTGGTTCCACCGTTATGTTGTAACTTACCGTTTGATCTTGGTTTTCAGTCTCTGTTGTATTCTCTCTGTGCACTATCACCTTGCTATCATCTTTGATATCGTGTTTACTGCTTGTAGCTTCTTCTGTATCGTTATTTTGAGAGTTTGAGCTGGTTGAAGCATAATTCTCGTGCGTTCTTCTATCCAATATGTTCAAAGCTTCCTCCATGGTTTCCATAGAATCTTCCAGAGACGAATCGTCACTGTCAGAAGATACATCGTCGCTGTCGTCGTTATTAGCTGAACTTGACGAATTTGCTCTTTCTTGAGCTGCCGCAAGATTTATTCGTTTCTTCTTACGGGCAACCGTCAGTAAGAAGAAGTCGAGGAGTTCTTCTGAAGCTCTGGGAGTTTCTCTTCTGCCGTTTCTGTCTCTGAATGAAAATCTAAATGTGAGTTAATGTTCAAATTTTGAAGAAACGAATCAAATTTATTTTAATTTTGATGAAATATCAAATTAAAACGGTCACGCACTTCTGTCTATCTGTCTGTCTGTCGTCTGTTGCCAAATTTTTTGTATGTTAGGAATGTCGTGTAGATGGTGGAACGCTAAAAAACATTGGTGCCTAACGTGGAAAGACGATCTTTCTCTTCCACGGTGCCTAAATACTTACGAATGGTAAGTACAGTAAACTCATTTGACATACACATTGTAAAACTTTTATGACTAAAGCGACTTAAGCCAAACCACCCGTATAAGTCAAACTGGCAATTGTATAACTTAACTCAGTGCACAGCTCCATTATGGCAACAATGGACAGTAATAATCCTTGCGGTTCGGGTCCACAAAGCTTACAATAGCCAGTTTGACTTATAAGAGCGCTTAAGTCATAAAACTTTTACAAGGTGTATGTCAAGTGAGTTTACTGTATAACAGTTCTAGAGTGGGTGAGTACAACCGTATGTCTGGTTATTTGGCAACAATAGGTTAATTCGAAGTTGTTAGAATAACAATGTACAGTTGAATTAATTTATCATTTCCATCACGTGATCGCAACGCATCGTATGAATCAAGCAACACTACAGAACATCTAATTTTCTACACTGTGGCTTTCTGACAGTACTTATGCATTGTTGAAGATTGTTCTCGACGTTTAAATCAACAAGATTTATTGCTATTCGTCTCAAAAACAAATTAGGTATTATAACTACAAGGGCATAACATTTTGCTCTTTTTTCTTAACAAGAAACGTAAAACATGTTTAAAATGGTAATTTTTTGTAGGAAAGTATCGATTTTGCAATTAGGCTCTGCCCCTCGGTCTGACAATGAATGAAAAATTCATAACAATTGAGCTTGAGATAGATATGTGTGGGGTTAATTTTTGGCTTTTTTTTTTCTTAATATACATAGTATTCTTTGAACAAGATGATACTCAAAAACATGTTCTTAAATTCTCGTAGAGAAATAAGGACTTTACAATTAAGCTCAGCTCCTTTGGCTCACGACGAATAAAAAAATCATCACAATTGAGATCGGGCGGATGGGCAGGCTTACATTTTGCCATTTTTTTCTTAATATACGTAGTCATCTTTTCACAACAACAAACTTAAAACATGTTTAAAAGGTAAATTCCTGTAGACAAATACGAATCTTGCAATTAAGCCCCGCCCCTCGATCTGACAACGAATGAAAAAGATGGTAATTTCTCGTAGAAAAATAAGGATTTTTTACAATTAATAACTTTTTTATTATTGATTTTAGAATATTGGTTGCTTATGATTTTTTGTAGTGAAAAAATCAATCTTTCCATTTATGAAAAATTATACCTAGTGTTCCATTAAAAAAAAATAAGTTGACGTCATTTCCGGTTCTACCGCCAGTGATAATAAAAATGTGTGCTTACCATCATATAAATCTTTGAGAATGATACAAATTTGGTTAAAGAACTACGGGTTTATCTTCAAGAATGAAAAAGTTACAGGGGTTGTATCAAATGAAAGAAACACCCTGTATATATTAAAAAAAAGGCAAAAAATATACCCCGCCCACCCACCCCATGTCCATTGTGATGAATTTTTTTATTCTTAGAAACTTGAAACACGTTGAAAATGGTAAATTTTTTTAAGGAAACATGGATTTTGCAATTATGCTCCGCCCTTAGGTCAGCCAACGAATGAAAACTTCATTACTATTTAGATCAGGGCATTTATGGGTGAGGCTTAATCTTTGGCTTTAATTTTTTCTTAATATACATAGTATTCTTTGAATAACACTATACTCCAAAACAAGTCTTACATGGTAATTTCTTCTAGAGAAATGACAAGGATTTTGCAATTCAATTCCGCTCCTTTGGCTCTCGACGACTAAAAAAAAATCATCGCAATTGAGATAGGGTGGTCGGGTGGGGCTTATATTTTGCCTCTTTTTCTTAATATACATAGCCATCTTTTCAGAACAAGAAACTTAAAACATGTTTAAAATGGTAAATTCTTGTGGAAAAATTTTTAAATTAAGCTTTGAACAACACGATACGCAAAAAAATGTTTTTAATTTCTCGTAGAGAAATCAGGATTTTGCAGTACAGCTCCGCCCCCTTGGCTCACGACGAATAAAAAAAATCATCAGAATTGACACAGGCGGGCGGGCGGGGCTACATTTTGCCTTTTTTTCTTAATATGTGTAGACTTATTTCGACAACAAGAAACTTAAAATGTGTCTAAAATGGTAAATTTTTGTAGTAATCAACTTAAATCCTCCACTTTTCTTCTACAACCCGTTTAAATACGGCAACTTAGCAACGGAGTTTATAAATCCCACTTTAGATGGACAGTTTTCAGGGGTGGGATTTTGTTTCTTGATCGAAGTGATAAATTATCACTTGCGATAAATTATCACTTGCGATAAATGTCATTGCATAGGATTTAAATGCAAAGTTTGCATTTATTCTTTGCATATAAGCTTATTAAAAGCTCAAAACTTTACAATTACCTTAATTTTAAGAACTTATAACACAGAATTACGATTTTGAACTTCTATTTTGACATAAATTTCGAGGTTATGTCTCCAAAATTTATCACTTCATTCAGAGCATCAGAGCTATCCAGAAAATATCACTCCATCATGAAGACTTGATTTCGTGACAGAATCGAGAAATGTGACAGAAACGTCTCACCAACTCAGCCTCTCAACCAATCAACAAACGAGATTTTATCGTTAATTGTGTTGTCGCTTAAATATGTTCCAATAATATTATGTCGTTGTAGAGCGTAGTGTTTCAGTACATAAATATATTTTCAGTGATCAAAGACATTCATTTAAAATGGAAAATCTAGAAAAACATTATAATAAATTTAAATAATAATATTTTTCAGAAGAGTAACTAGTTAATGAATAAAATAGCTAATTAATAGAGTAATAGAATACACCGACATAGTTTTAATTTGTAAATGTCAGTAACGGCTCGTGGTCTTTTCGTTAGGTGAGGCAATATTTTCGTTTCAAAATCAGCAGATATTAATTAACATGTTCGCAATTACTTTTGTTAAAAGACAGATTGTTTATTCGTTTTTATGAAAACAATACAAATAGCTCTGAGTCAGGAACATATCTCCATATGGGTACACTTCTCGAATAAAAAACATTTAATTGCTTCACATAAACCAACAAGAAGGTGTAAAGACTACAGAATTTACTTTATTAGCATTTCATATGATCTAGGGCTGATTTAAATATATTAATCAATTAATTAATAAAGTTCTGCTCAAATCTGGATGAGAGGTTCTAAATCTTTGACATACAATTGTTCGTCGTAAGAAAACCGTGCTTAAATATTTAGACTTTATAAGAAATTCTGAAGATTCGAGATTCTTATGTTCCTATCAGCATTGCAAAACTGACATTTTCAAGGTCCTACTGTTTTTAAGTTAACTTAAAAGTTTTAATATATAACCTTGGCAATGCACATGTAGTGAACACCTTTCCTCGCGTCTAATTAATGCACAACTAATTGCACACTAAATGCATTCAGCATCCCTGTTCAGCATTGTGCAGTTTCACCGTGAGATTAAAAAATTCGATCTGATTGGCTCAAGTACGGTAGGCGTTAGTGCCTCCGCTGGCGCTTTGATAAAGCACTGATGACTATTGTCTTTCTCAAAAACATATTAGCAGCACTGACTAATCGTACTGAAGATATTCGTCTATCTGAGGCATGCCTCCATCTGAAGCTGGCCTACACGGTGATGATCAGCACTTATTCCTGTCGAAAGCGCGTACCTCAAAATATGTTACCAAGATACGCTTTAATAAATCAGTGTTCTATAAAAGTTATTTGCTATATCTTTAAAATATATTTGAAGTTAACAGATATTAAAACAAAAACTAATAGTCAATTTTTCCAGGGGAGGCATTGCCTCCTCTGCCTCCCCTGACGAGCCGCCACTGGTAAATGTGTAGTTTAAATCAAAATACTTATTATTATTATTATTATTATTATTATTAAGTAGTAAGTTGACCAACAGGTCAAAGCCCAATTACAGGTCAACTATAATACGCCTTAACATGAAGAAAGGAAGAAATACTGCAGCTATAATTACTGGAGTTCTTTGATAAGAGTTCAGCATGCCAAGGCGATATCAAAACTGAAACTAATACTAGACAAAGTTATCTAAAGATATCAAAGACATACGGATCTAAGTTATACTGGTGACACATTTCATAGACTGGAGAGTGTTTTTCGATATTTAGACGAGGAGTTGGAAGATAAAAACATTGATTAGATCTAGATGACATTCTAGGTACCAAGATGAATATCTTACCAAGAAGATCAGTGCAATCAACGTGAAAATTTATCACATTACGAAGAAATTTTAACGAGGCGATACACCGTCTAGTACTTAAGGCTTCTACTTTAAATCGTTCTAACAAGACAGAGTGAGGAATACCTCTGACTGGATAAACACCATCCTCCTTAAATGCTGTGTATTTTAAAAAACGTCGTTGTATGTTTTCCAGATGGTTAATACGATTTTGTGTGAAAGGAGCCCAAACAATACATGCATACTCGAGCTTTGAGCGAACGTAAGCAAAGTACAGCAGTCGCAAGCTATCAACCTGTGTAAAATCTCTACCACACCTTATAATAAAACCAAGTGACCTGAAAGCACTATTACATATATGTTCCACATGATTAGCAAAACTGAGCTTACAATCAAAAATGACACCTAGATCTTTAAATGTATCCACTCTAGCAAGACTCATGTTGTTTAATTTATAGTCGAATTGAATTTGTGTGCACTTATTGGTAATGGTCATTATGTGACATTTCTTATAGTTCACTGGGAGTAAGTTAGACAAACTAAATTCATGAAACCTATTTAAATCATCTTGCAACAAGATGCAGTCCTCTATGGTTGAGACGTCTTTATAAATCTTAAGATCGTCAGCATATATTAAAACGTTAGATTTTATGTTCTTAACAATGTCATTAATGTAAACAATAAACAGAAGAGGGCCCAGCACGGAGCCCTGAGGCACCCCCGAGGGAACAGGTCTTTTTATCGACTCGTGTCCACAATATGTAACACACTGTAACCTATTAGATAGATATGATTCAATTAAATTAACTAATGAAACAGAGAGACCAATATTACTTAATTTTGCCAATAGAATTACATGATCTAATTTATCAAATGCCTTAGAATAATCAGTGTATACTACATCTACCTGGAGCTTGGAATCAAGCGAGTCAGCTGCAAATTGAGTAAATGTGCATAAATTTGTAACCGTGGATCGACCGTTGACAAAACCATGTTGATATTCACTAATTACATTTCTGAAATTAAAAAGAAGATGCTTGTGTAATATTATTTCAAAAACTTTAGAAAAATTACAAATTAATGATATGGGCCTGTAATTTTCAATTACATTTCTTTCGCCAGTTTTAAAAATTGGAGATACTATTGATAGTTTCCATATTTCAGGAAATTTACAGGTTCTTAGAATTAAATTAAAAAGAATTGTTAGAGGTGGAGTTAGTATACAGGCACAATCTGTCAGAATAAAGCCTGGAATATTGTCATGTCCTGAACACATATTAGGTTTGATCTTTTTCAAAGCGTTTAGAACATCTGATTCCGAGATAGTGTTTAGATTTATTATTGGGTTTAACATTTGATAATCAGCAAAATCGTCAGCGTTATTCACGGTGCAATTATGATAATTACTGGAAAAATATTCTGCAAATGCATTGACAATATCATCAGGTGTGTTAAGAAGTTTATTTGAGTAGCTCAGCTGCGAAGGTATACCCCTATGCCTACTAAGGTTGTTTACATGGGACCAAAATCTACTGGGATTAGATTTAATATTCACCTCAACGTTAGTTATATATCGTTTGTATTCTAAGTCGATGTCACGTTTTATCTCAGACCGTATCTTTTTAAACTTGCTATGTATCTCAGTTTCATTGATAGTTGATTTAAGCTTACGGTGTAGGGTGTTTTTAAGTTTCAGTTTCTTTATAATGACTGGAGTAAACCAAGGCGGAAAGCATATTTTACGGGAACGACGAGTTTTGGGAACATGTAGGTTGAGTGCATTATTTAGTTTATCGTAAAATATACCAGAAGCAATATTAATATCACTAATGCTGTTAAGCTCAGTCCAGTTGATTTTCATTATCTCTTTATACAAATTTGGGTAATCAGCTTGTCGAAAGTTCCAGTGGACATTAACTATTCCACTGTGACTAATTGAGTTGGTTTTTTTGCCACGCTGAATTTTTGAGATAATCAGAGAGGGATGGTGAACATCCTCATCCACTAAAGAGTCATCACACTTATCAACAGAACAATAAAAACTACCAATAACCAAGTCAAGACAACGTTCATTAATATTATTAACGTTATTGTACTGTTGGTAGTTGCAGAAATTGAGAAAATTGAACAGGGATGAAATTTTTTTGTTACTTGTCACAGGAAGCGACAAATTTGAACTGTAATCTGGTAGATTAAAATCACCTACTATGAGAACATTATGATTATCTGATTCAGTTATATTGGCTAATATGTGAAATATCAGTTCAAATTCCTCAATAGTTGCCTTCGGTTGTACATATATTACTACAACGAAAATATTGAAATAATTTATAGAGCATTTAACAGCAAGCAATTCACTATACCGCAGTGAATTATAACCCTTAGATGTAAGGTCAATGGGTTGTAATGCAAACTCTCGACGACATGCAAGTAATACACCTCCACCTTTGGTTACATTCATTTTATGCATATTTCTATCTGTCCTTATCACTTGAAGATGGTTTGGACAAAATTCAGCGTCTAAGACAGAAGAGCTGAGCCAAGTTTCAGATAGACAAATAAAATCATAGGGACAACAAAGTATGGAATTCCGCAGCTGTATTAATTTGGTGTTTAGTCCTCTAACATTTTGATAGTAAATCAGTATATTAGAATGAGAAATACTATTTGAAGAACTATTAATACAGCTAAAATTTAATGAAGAGGAAAGAGTGCTAATTGAGGACACCTGATTATAGACTGGGAGGGTATTTACAGTAGTAATATACTTGTCCAAGGCCACAAACGATGTGGATTGCTATATGGGGAGACCAAAGACATCTTGCTTGATTTTGTTAACCGCTAGATTATAAGCATGACAGCTGTTGTAATCCCAAGCAGCATGATTTGTATCGATATCTTGGCTTTTACCATCACGCTTTAGATTAAAACAGTTACCACAACACAAATTTTCTGCTTTACAATCTTGTATTTTATGTTTGTCAGAGCACTTAGGACAAGATAGTTCTTTGTTACACTTAGATGAAGAATGATTAAAGCCATTACACTGTAAGCATCGGGAAACACCAATACCGGAGTATATAGAGCAACCATCTAGACCTATGAGACAGTGACCCAGGCTCAGTGCTCTTTTGTATGTAGAAACATCTACTTCTACTAATACCTGGAAACGGTCTTCATTATTTTTTATCTTAGAGAATTTTATCAACTTATATTCGCTATCTTTATCAAAAATTATTTCATTCTGCTTAACCAGATATTTTAAGATGTTATTTTCATCAACACTATTAGAGATTCCCGCAATTCGAATACGTGGACGCAAGGTTTTAACTACTTTAATATCATAATCATTGTATAATTTATTAGTCTCAGAAAGTTGCTTAAATTTACTGACGTCATCACAACCCAGTAACACGCTTCCCTCTTTAAGATTATATAGATAATAACTTATAACTTAGATAATACTTATGTATTATCTAAGTTATAAGTGTTGTAAGAAATGATAGAAATAAAATATCAATGTGCAAAAAAGTAATTTTTCTTGCATATTTTAGTAATTTTTTGCATATAATGCCAAATTTCTCGGCATATGCGCATATTTACATGTTTTTTCTGCATATAATAGGAGCTTTATACTTGTTCCAATAAAATTTGAATCATTAGTTTCAACGTCAATTTCTGTTTCTTGGAGTTTCTTGAAGGTTTTTTGACCTTTAAATATTGTTGGAATTGCATTGTTTTAAAAAGTTTCTTTTGGAATTATCAGAAATTGTGCAGAGTTGAAATATGCACTACAAAAACAAATGTCTTTGCTGCAATTTTGAATGTTGCACCAACTTAACCAAATCGCTCTTATATTAGCTTTGTTTGGGAACCAATGGAAAAAACAGCCTTCCTTGAATCTGTTTTTGCAATTGGTATTATGACTTTTGACGTTTCGTGGTGTCATGGTTCAATTTTGGTCCAATTTAAGGTCATATACAGTCTTGCCATGAAGTTGGGTCCAACCAATCAAAAACGGACATCGCGTTTTGTTCAACTTTTATCTAAATAATTATAGAGGAACTTTAGTATGGATCAAGTCTAACACCAGTGTTATTGTTATATCCCTTATAATTCAAGGCATTAAAGTTAAATAACATATACACATATATACATGTTTCACTTGGCTAGACAAAACCAACTTCCTTTTGCAAGCAATATAGTATGCTTTGAACAAATATAGATAGCAATTTTGTTGCAAAATAGTCACGTGATGGAAACGATAAAAAAGATCAGACTATTTATATTAACTGACCTTTTGATAGGCTTTTTCTTCTTAGCAGTTTTCCTTTTCTTCAACATATTGGTATATTTTACATTTGGATTCTCTGTTTCAATAATTTTCCGCAACAAATTTCTGATGGTAGTTTTGCACAATTCTTGCAATGACAATGGTTCAATGTCAACTACAAAAACCAACAGGACTATCAAAAAATAACAAAGATAAAATCAGCTTACACGCTGGCACTATCTCTTGACTTCCTTGTTCTGGTTTGACTAAATTTATAAACGAAACTGGCAACAAATAGTGAGTTGACCAAAAAGTTTCTGAAACTCTTCTCATCTCAACCAACCTCTCATTGATAGGCACAACCAAAATTCCGCCAACCTTTATCAAGTTCTTTATATAACCGAGATACTTCTCTGGGCAAGCGGCCCCACAGTACACCCTATCATACAAGTGGAAACCTGAGGCCAAACACAGGCAATTCCCTTGCATGAATTTGGGTTCGCAGAAGTCATACTCATCGATAGCACCTGAGTGTTTTTTGAACTCCTCAAGACGCATGTATGCATACTGGATGACATCTTCGTGCAATTCAATCCCGTGATTTATGCCGTAGCTTCCTAGAATGAGTCCTGCGATTGTGTTTAAGTATCCAGTTCCAGAACCAAGATTCAAAAAACTTTGTCCGGGTTTCAGTTTCAGTCCTTCCATGACCTCACTGTAAATACATGGCGCTGAGATGTGGAAATTTCCATTTTTCCACGCTACGTCCCTGTATGCATCTGCTGGCGGTTCTGGAAGGAAATAAGCTCCTCTGTCGACTGCTCGAAATACTCTTTCAACCAGTGATGTTTTTATGTAATTTGCTTCAATCAGGTTATCAATAAGATCGTCGTTGTTCTCCCCTGCGCTCACGCCGGCCCCCATCATCTAATAATATGTTTTCAATCAATGATAATATGGAATTGAGAACTAATTGCGTCATAAAATAAGACGAATTTTTGTTTAGGTTTGTGATGTCAAATGTTCCAAAATAGAAACTGTTAAGAATAACATAATATATATTTATGCAAACATGTTGCCGAAATGTTGAAAAACAGATTTTCTTTATGTGATGATAAATGTCGAAGAAAACTTACACAATTTTTATGAACGAGCTGCTTTATGCGAATCAACCATCACAACACAATCAGCTGACATTACAATGATAGGGTTTGTGCGACGTTGTCACGTTGACTTTTCACTTGAATTTTTGGTGCACACTTTTACATTTACAGAAATCCTGACAGAAAATTATAATTTTAATCATAGTACAATCGCGGCTGTTGAAAAGTACTACACTATATGTCTAAAATTTTGTTTTTGTAAATTGCTCCGAAACTGAAGTTTGTAAAATGTCACTTCAAAAAACAGTGTCGTCGAGCAAAAAATCTTATTTCAACGAAACATTTTATTGTGATAACACGGCATTCTATATATATTCTAGAGGAATTCCATGGAAATGCTTTGTATCAATTCTTCCTCCCAGAGCTAGTGGTTTGGGAAATTTTTAATTGCGGCATTTTCCAAAATGACGTACGACACTGTCACTATTGTCAGAAAAATATCCAGCTATTTAACAACGCAAGTTAGTAGTATTAGATATATGCATAGCGCAAATAATCGATAAAACCACTCTCTGCCAATCTAGATATACTACATACAAATTTTACGTTTTTCCCGAGCGTAAGCTAAGGAAATGTTGTGATCGAACCCATCGGGCGATTGGTTATTTTCATATTTTCTCGATGTGTCATGAACCCTAGAGTCCTAAAAAATTGGTGTCCCGTTTCTGTCTGTCTGTCTGCCGTTTGTGTCGATTTTTGTTAGACAGGATCGATTATTGTCAAATTTTATGTGTATTACATACGAATATCATGTAAACATTTGTCTAATCATCCCCACCAAAATGTGATGACGTCACCTCAAACTATAAATGGATTTTAAACTGTATAAAATAACCAGTGTAGTTCTAGTACCTGACAAGATAAGACTGATTTTGGCAAATGACACCTTTTGTGAAAGTAGAGGGCGGGCGGGCGGGGCTACTGCTTGCTCATAAGACTGTAGAAAAAAGTTAATAGTTTTATAGCCAAAGTTCTATTATTTCCCACTCTCACTCTACAGAAGATTATATAATTAAGCCCGCCCACCCACCCCGCCTCTATTTCACTGATTACTTTTATCTGCTCAGAATGAAAAGTACATCTTATACTGAACTGAAATAAAATTAGGAAAACGGCGGGTGGGCTGGGCTAGCACTTGATAACATAAAACTAATTTTGGCAAATAACACTCCCTGAGAAAAAAGAGAGCGGGTGGGCGGGGCCAGTACTTACAAAGATAAGATGAACAATATTAAGAATAGTTACTAGAATAAAGTAGGTGGGCGGGGCTACTGCTTCCTCATAAGACTGTAGAAAAAGTTAATCTTACTTAACTTAAATAGTACAGAAAATTTACAATTGCTGTTTTTTTTAAATTTTTTTTGTATAGCCTAGGTCCTATTAATTCCCTCTCTCACTCTACAGAAGATTATATAAGTAAGCCCGCCCACCCACCCGCCTCTATTTCACTGATTAATTTTATCTGCTCAGAACGAAAAATGCATCTTATACTGAACTGAAATAAAATTAATAATACGACGGGTGGGCGGGGCCATGGTAGAAGGAGACATGGTATAGGCATACGCATCGGGTGTGACGTCAAGTGGGGTGAAATTAGCGCGAAATTTAAAATACAATTCGTTATCCGACAACTAATTGACGTATTGGACAGAGCAATGACAACTCAAGCTGAAATTCCCTAGACTTCCCTAGCGAAGCCACAGGCGAAGCTCACAAGAGTCACAAGGTCGTTGATGCCACCTAACGTCACAAATGGATGCGCAGACCATTTTTAAATTGGTACATCGGATGCCTATACCATGTCTCCTTCTACCATGGGCGGGGCTAACACTTGATAAGATAAAACTGATTTTGGCAAATCACCCTCTTTGAGAAAATAGAGGGCGGGTGGGTGGGGCTAGTATTTACAAAGATAAGACTGAACAATATTAAGAACTAGAACGAAATAGGTGGGCGGGGCCACTGCTTACTCATAAGAGTGTAGAAAAAATTTAATTTTACTTAACTTAAATAATACAAAAAAGTTACAATTGCCGCTTCTTTATTTTTTGTTATAGCCTAGGTTCTATTAATTCCCACTCTCGCTCTACAGAAGATTATATAAGTAAGCCCGCCCACCCACCCGCCTCTATTTCACTGATTAATTTTATCTGCTCAGAACGAAAAATGCATCTTATACTGAACTGAAATAAAATTAATAATATGATGGGTGGGCGGGGCTAACACTTGATAAGATAAAACTGATTTTGGCAAATCACCCTCTCTGAGAAAATAGAGGGCGGGTGGGTGGGGATAGTACTTACAAAGATAAGACTGAACAATATTAAGAACAGTTATTAGAATGAAATAGGTGGGCGGGGCCACTGCTTACTCATAAGAGTGTATAAGAAATTAATCTTACTTAACTGCCCATTCACAATGGACATAAGGCATAACAAGTACATAAAGCTTACATAAATACATAAAGTTGAAACGATGGAAAACGTGTACCCCTGTTCACAATGGACGAACGTAATTCTTATGCTTATGAACGTTTTATGTAATCCTTGTGTGCGTACACAAAGTTGAAACAAGTTCAACTTTGTGCACGAATTATGTCAAAATTATGTTAAAATCTAGGGACTTTTGAATGCTGCTATTGAATTCCCTATGACAGTTGGCACTTGGCACTTCACACCTTTGATTAAATTATATAAATTATAATCAAAGCTTCACACTGCGAGTCTGTTCTGTACTGCGAGTTGTCAAGTTCGAATATCGTTGAAATTGTAGGTTAGATATTTTGATTGACTCAGTTTGAGGTTAGCCGTTTCTATGTTTAGCCAGGAGTTATTCCGTTCTGCGTTTGCGCAGTTTAACAATTCTTACAGAGTTCACTCTGTCCACTGTGAACGTAGATAAGCATAAGCCAGACACAAACCAAAAACGTAAATTATGTTATGCGCTCGTTCTTATGTCTTATGTCCATTGTGAATGGGCAGTAACTTAAATAGTACAAAAAAATTACAATTGCCGCTTTTTTATTTCTTGTTATAGCCTAGGTTCTATTAATTCCCACTCTCACTCTACAGAAGATTATATAAGTAAGCCCGCCCACCCACCTGCCTCTATTTTACTGAATAATTTTATCTACTCAGAATGAAAAGTGCATCTTATACTGAAAACGTATAGTTTATGAATACGTACGCATTTTTTACTCGATGCATCCAGACTTTTGGGAAAAACAACATTTTCCAATTTAATTTTGAATCTGCAACACCGAGTATTTTGCAATCCTGCAAACGTTTTAAAGTTATCATAAGCATGGTAAATTTTCAATCAAAATATGTATGGTCATCCCTCTTAAAAGATTGATGGCGTCATCTCAAAATTTTGTCGAATAAATCTTGTCGAAAATATGAAAAATGTGATGAGTCTTAAGTCTATACTTGTGATTTATTATTGCATTCATATTTTCGGTACAGGGTAAGTCCAAAAAATACATGAATGGGTCACTTTATTTTATTGATTAAATCAGGAACGCCTCACTCCATTTTCTCGAAAATTTGGGAATACAATTTGTTATTATTACACGTATCGAATTGATATACGTGTCTTTGCTAAAGTGTTGATTACGTCATCATAATTTTTTTATGGAAAAACTCACTTGAAACAAACGCACAGCATTGTTCTTTGCTTGTACTTTAACAATCCACACATATCTTTATTTTATTAAAAGAGGTTATCATAAGAAAATAAAATTCGCAAAATTTAATTTTATAATTTTTCGAAGAAGCTGTATTTGGTAATTTTTTTGGCCCTAAAGAAGTCTATAATAAATAATAGGAGTAGTAGTTATTTTTGGCCCTTCGTTCTTTAATGCACCTTCATGAAACGAACGCACTCTAGAATAATTCAAACAACCAATTTTATATGTGAGTGAAGATATTCGGTGATCTAATTTGAATAATATTTGACATTTCAAAAATGCTCGATTTGAGTCGGTTTTTGCTTTTAATTTTAGAAAAAAATACAATTTCGGTTAAACAATATAGTATTTGAAAATATGAAATTGCTTTTTTTAGACTTTTATTAGAACAAAACATAAACAGAACGTAATAAACAAAAAAAAGGCGACTCTTAAGTGATAACGGGAATTTGTTATAAAAATTGTTTGTAAATTGTAAATTTGTAAATAATAAAAAGGACTTGATCCCCCCAAAGAAATTTTCAAATATGTCAACTTGGCAACACTGCACCAACAATCCGTTCATTATAGCGCATGCGCCCTTGTTGTAAACGGCATCAAATAATTTTTATTTAACAATACTTTGGAAAATAATTAATGCTGAATTTCAAGTGAGTAAAATAGATTAGGTTTCAATAACATTTAATTTAGAAGGGTTTTTACAGCTTTACCCAATTCGCCATGACGGATAAAAGATAAGAATTACTCCTCCAATCAGTGCTCCACAAATTCTTCATGCTCAAGTTTTCACGGAAGTATAGAAGAAAAATTAATCAATAATTAGTGATTGAAATCGTTTTGCGAAGTTAGTTGTTGCATTTCCTGTTCTGATAGTGCTTTGGATAAAAAGGTAATGTTGTCGAAGGACTAGTCACTTAAGTTGGTGGCAAATTAATTCCCAAGTACAGTTTTAATACTTTGGGTGAGAAATAAAGTTTGCTGTTATGTATTGTAGTTATACGAGCTCCATTAACATGTGAAGCTTTCTTTTTTGCTGTTTTTTCCACGAAAATATCAACAGTAAAATCACCGCTTCTTAAGAGTATTGTATGTACCTCAGTGGCGTCTTAAGTTTTTAACTGAAGAATGCCGATGTTTTTTTAATTTTTAAACACAAATTTTGCGCTATACGCCGCATTTCTGGTGAAAAATGCGTTAAGTCGGGGGCGGGAAAAGCGTTCAAAATGTACCCCTCGTGCCCCTTGTCCGTGCGCGCATGCGTTGTAGTTGTCTGTGGTTTTTAGAGTGAATAACATAAAATAAAACTTTTAATAAATAATTTCATTAAAATATAAATGTTGCTGCTCGATAAACTCACGAAGACTTTTTTTGTGGTGTAGAGGCCTTTCAGACAATGTCCGTTTCTCCTCGAAGCGAAAATCTCAAAACTTTGTGCTTGTGTTTTTTCCACATGAAAAAAAATCATAACCGTCCCTGCATGACTCAAAATAATTTAATTATTTACTTTATGGAGTAATATTACTTATGTAACAGGTGAGGCGCAATTTTTTTCCGTTTTCGATTTGTTTTTGTTTACAGAATGAAGGTTAGTAGAGGCAGGTCCGCAGGTCCGTAACGGACCGTTTTCTAAGTTGTTTCACACAAAAAGCTCACTATAAGATTTCATTCAAAGTACAGTATCAATTAACCCTTGTAATTACGAATATTTAATAAGTGATGTGTAAATCTAACTCCTTTTTGTTTTATACTTTGAGTAAAATATTTATAACATTGCAGAAATGTCATCAGGGGCCACGGAATCTGGGGACTTCGCTCAAACAGTCTCTGATATCAACACAAACACTTCCGATACCTCACCAGTATGTACATCAGTCATTTCGACAAACCCAATGAAAACCCAAGTGGTTCCGTTGGTTTACATCCAGACACAATCGAAACTACCATTTTCATCAATCACCAAACCCAGCGTGGTCAACACGGTGCCCCAGTTACAATTCGCCACACTTCCACCAAATATAGTTAATAATAAAAACACTCCAGCTAGGTCTATCACGAATCAAGGTGTTATTCTCACTCCAGTTAAAAATGTGACCAAGGCACAGCAGTTGGTAATTCACAAACCCAGCAACATGCAGACTGTGACTCTTTCTTCAGGTTCAAAAATTGCAGGCACATATTTGACCATGCTGAAACCGCTAACTAAATTATCAGAGACGAAAAGTGAAGGGCAGAAGCTAATGATAGCTCCAATGCCAAAAGTGATAAAGAACAGGCTGCCAGTTACGGTCACCACAAACACTCTTCAGCCAAAAATCGCATTCATGCCTCTAACAATCCCACAGGCGAACAACGAAATGAATAATAAAATGTTTAATATCAAAATAGCTGATGGTCAAATGCAATCTGAGCCAGAATTCGGTCTCAAGCATGAAGACAATGAAGAAATGAATCATAATTTACACTGTGATGAAGTAATAAATTTAGATAGTCCACATAAGAGTGAGAAAGAGTATGAATTGTCAATTATGGAAGATTCCAACTCCAAAAGTGAGACTTTTGGGTTCAGTTTTGACACGTCTGCTGAGAAACGCAAAGAAATTTTGCCAAAATTCTCAAAACACGGGATTTCTATCCTCAAAAAGAGCTATCAGGGTGATAAAATACGTAACCATTCTAATTCTAATCCCCTTCTAGATCCTGATCCTGTGAAGTTGCAAAAAACTGAACGCAGGCGCAAGTCCAATTTTTCGTACAGGAAGGATTACGACGATATGGAGATAGTAGACTCTAAGGAGAAGTTTAAACTTGATTCAGATGTTACTCTTACAAAACTCGAAGGATCAGATAGTTTTGATAAGGAACACAGAAAGGATGACTTTCTTGAAATTGAAGTCATTAAGGAAAAGAAAACTGATATTAATATGAACGACGACTTTGATTTGCAGAAGATATTGAAGTGGGAGGAAGGTGTTGGAAGTCTTCCTGGCAGTGATCTCAAATTTATTGTTAATGAATTTAATTTGATCGAATATGTGACTAGGGAAGAGTATGATAAGATCATTGAGAAGAGGTTGAACAAGGTCAATAAGGTATGTATGCAATATACCGTTTTTTTTTTAAGTTTGAATCTTTGTTATTGAACAAATCTATGAAAATATGTTTCCTGTAGATGAAGTTATAGGAAACAGAATAGTTTTTATTCTTACCTGATTTTATGATGCTTTAGTGATAATAGTGGTTGACCTCAGTTCACATCAATGTTAATCAGATATCTAAAATAATTTAAATATTTTTTTATTTCTTACCTTTTCAAATTAATAAAATTTTGAATTTTATTCATTAAAAATTTAAATATCTAAATAGTGGCATTAAATGTAGTTTTGCATAAAATAAGATCCAAAGGAATTATTTCATGAATGATCATAAAATCTAAACCAAAATTTGTCTAAGCATATTAAATCAAGTGTAATAGACTTGACTAATAACGTTTCAAAAATTTGTCTCGTTAATTTTATGTAATAACATGACTTTTTACTTATTTTTATTTCTTGACGTGTTTTTAGATTTTCATAGAAAGGTTATCCTAGAAAACAGCAAACGGTTAATCCTTCATTTAGTAATGGAAATATGTGATAAAATCCAAGTTTAATAATATATTAAATAGTAAATTAAAAAAGATATTGCAACTGATGTGAAGGTAATCATTTTAGTGCTGCTATCCCTAACTTCATACTTTTTTGTGGTAAAACTAGAAGGACCCGCTATTTTTTTAAGTGACAAATATTTTTTACTCACTGGTAGTTGTTTACAAATATTAAATTGCAACACTTATTAAATCATTATATTAATGCAAATTTTAAATTTGCAAATTATACCGTAAAATTGTCCGTCTTGAAACGTCCAGACTTTTGAAAAAAAAAAAATCAAAAATATAAAACAACATTTTGCAATTTAATTTTGAATCTGCAAAACCGAATGCTTTGAAATCTTGCAAATATTTTAAAGTTATGATAAGCACAATAAATTTTTAATTAAAATATATTTACTTATCCCCTCCAAAAAAATTGATGACGTCAGCTCAAAATTTTGCCGAATAAATCCTATTTAAAATGTATGATGGGTTTTTACTTGTGGTTTATCGTTGTACTCATACTTTTTAGATTTCCCCCTATTTTCTCAGAGGATATGTCATTTGCTAAAATTAGTCTTAGCAAGGGCTAGCCCCGCCCACCCACCCCTATTTTCTCAGAGGGTTATGTCATTTGCCAAAATCAGTTTTATCTTAGCAAATACTAACTTTTTGGCAAATGATATACCTTTTAAGAAAATAGAAGGCGGGTGAACAGGGCTAGATAAGATTTATTTTGGCAAATGACATATCCTCTGAGAAAATAGGGGTGGGTGGGCGGGGCTAATACTTGCTAAGATAAGAGTTATTTTGGCAAATAACATATCCTCTGAAAAAATAGGGGGCGGGCGGGCGGGGCTAGTATTTGCTAAGATAAAACTTATTTTGGCAAGTGACATATCCTCTGAGAAAATAGGGGGCGGATGGGCGGGGCTAAAAAAGATAAGACTTGCCTCTATTAATCCCGTAAAAACTTGTTAAATTGCAAATTTCCATAGTAACGAGTTAAGTTCCTAAATCTGAATGGGTGTTTAGTTTAGTTTAATTGCAAAACTCGCATTTCTCTACAAAAAATTACCATATGAAATGTGTTTCTAAAAGGGTAGAATTTTTTAGAGAAATATTGATGTTACGATTAAACTCCGCCCTTCGGTCTGATTAGGAATGAAAAACTCATCACAACTGAGATCGGGGCGGGTGGGTGGGGCCTAATTTTTTTTTTAATATGTAGTTTTTTTTCAATAACAGGATAGTTAAACATATTGTCAGTTTCTTGTTGGGAAAAGAAAATTTTGCATATTAAGAAAAAATGGACCAAAGAGAGGCCCCGCCCAAATGACCTATCATCTAAGAAATTTAATTAAATTATTATAAGAAAAGACACTAGAGGCTCTCCAAAGCACTTTCAAATTCTTTCCAAACAGGAAGACCTAGAACCTCAAGATTGTTTTAAATTTTTCAAAAGAAAAAACGGAGTCCCAAAATTTACTTGAAAATTGGTCTAGTCAGAATTCTCCAAAAATAGAACACCAAAGTCCACCAAACTTGTTTTAAATAATAATAAAAAAAAAATCAATTTTATCTTGACAGGTAGTCGCCCCGCCCACCTACCCTCTCTTTTCTTACAAGATATCTCATTTGCCAAAATCACTATTGTCGTGGCAGGTTCTAGCCCCACCCACCCACCCTCTCTTTTCGTAGAGTGTATCTCATCTGCCAAGATTACTCTTATCTTAGCAGGTATTAGCCCCGCCCACCCACCCTCTCTTTTGTTAGAGGCTATGCCATTTATCAAAATCCGTCTAGCGGAGGGGTGGGGCTAGTACCTGCTAAGATAGGCTGATTTTGCAAATGATATACCTTCTACGAAAAGAGAGGGTGGGTGGGCGGGGCTTGTGCCTGTTAAGAAAAAACTGATTTTGGCAGATGAGATACCTACTAAGAAAAGAGAGGGTGGACGGGTGGGGTTAGTACCTGCTAAGATAATACCGATTTTAGCAAATAACTTATCCTCTAAGAAATTTAATTAAATTATTATAAGAAAAGACGCTAGAGGCTCCCCAAAACACTTTCAAATTCTTTCCAAACAGGAAAACCTAGAACGTCAGGATTATTTTAAATTTTTCAAAAGAAAAAACGGAGTCCCAAAATTTACTCGAAAATAGGTCAGGTCAGAATTCTCCAAAAATAGAACACCAAAGTCCCCCAAACTTGTTTTAAATAATTTACAAAAAAAAAAATCAATTTTATCTTAACAGGTACGATGGTTAATTCATCGTGAGCTAAAGGGCGGAGTTTACTTGCAAAATCCTCATTTCTCTACAAGAAATTACCATATGCAATATGTTTTTAAAAGAGTAGAATTTTCTAGAGAAATAATAATGTTACAATTAAACTCCGCCCCTCTAATTAGGAATGAAAAACTCATCACAAATGATATCGGGGCGGGTAGGTGGGGCTTAATCTGAAGAAGTGAAAAACTGAAAACTCGTGAAATTTCAAATCGAAAAATTGCAAAATCTAAAAATTGAAACGTCCAAAAGTTGGAAAAACGGAAAACTGGAAAATTTAAAAATGAAAACTCGAAGAGATATTGTAAAATTAAAAAAAAAAAACGAAAAATTAAATAAAAGTGAAATTGAAAAAACAAAAATTATAAAATTGGAACACTGAAAAATTGGAAAAATAAAGAAAATAAAAAACTGAAACGAAAAATTGCAAATGAAAAAATGACAAATTGAAAACTCGAGAAACTCAAATCGAAAAATTGCAAAATCTAGAAATTGAATTAAAAAATCGAAAAATTAAATTTAAACTTCAAAACTCGAAAAAATGAAGGAACAAAAAAATGAAAAATTGAAGAAAAAACTCTAGTTAAATAAGCTGCGGGATCGTTATTTACGCCACTGGTTTTTACTGTATAGAGGTTATCAGAAAACAAAAATCGCAAAAAAGTGATAATTTTTTCAGAGAAATGGGATTTATTTGGCTCTGTTGAAATAACCTTCGACCAATTTTTTATGTTTCATTCTACTTCAGAAGCGAGGGAAGCTCTGTTGAAACAACTTTCGACCAATTTTTTGAAAATTTAAAATTAATCCATAAATAGCGAAAACCAGATAATCTCATACTCATCAGAATTTTAACGCGTTGTAGGTTTTTTTTGACAACTAAATTTAAAAAACGGAAAAGCAGTGAAAGTACAAAAACGGCGTTATGCTGTTAGAGTATTTGGAATATTTTATTGTTTTTCATTTGGCCGTTTTATATTTCAGCCCAAGAACGATTTCCAAGAAGAACTACGATGCCTCGAGTGCGGTTGTTACGGCCTTCCTTCAGAATTCATCACGCCTAAATATTGCAGTTTAGACTGCCAAGAGAGCGGTAACAACAAACTCTTGAAAGAAAAAGAAAACAAAATAAAAAAGAAAAAGAAAAAACCGGGATTTCCTTTGAAGAAAATTGAATCCGAGGTTTTAAGTGCTAGCGACGATGAAACATCAAACGAAAACTCTCAAGACAAATATTCCTATCCTTGGACTTGTTCGAAGAAGGGTTTCTCTTGGACGAAATACCTAGATCATATTAAAGCTAAAGCCGCTCCTGTTAAATTGTTTAAGGACCCCTTTCCGTACAATAGAAACGGATTTAGGCCGGGCATGAAACTCGAAGGGATCGATCCACAACATCCTTCGTATTTTTGTGTATTAACAGTTGCTGAAGTCTGCGGGTATCGCGTAAGGCTGCACTTTGACGGATATCCGGAAAATTATGATTTTTGGGTTAATGCGGATAGTATGGATATTTTTCCGGCTGGGTGGTGTGAAAAGCACGGACATGTGTTGCAAGCGCCACCTGGATACAGTAGTGAAACTTTCAATTGGATGTTCTACTTGAAGTTGACCAAGTCGACAGCTGCGCCCAAGCATTTATTTGCCAACCGAGCCGGAAGTGTAAGTAGTTATTTCCGCTATTAGTCATTAGGGGTTACTTACTAGATACAAAAAACAAGTTTTTATACATAATAACGATTAAAAAAAAACACAGAAACATATTCAATTTTTTGCAGGCTATTTGTCCAAATGGATTCCGAGTTGGCATGAAGTTAGAAGCAGTAGATAAAAAAAATTCGTCTTTGGTTTGTGTGGCAACTGTTAGGGATATGATGGATAACAGAATTTTGGTACATTTCGACAGCTGGGATGACATTTACGACTACTGGGCGGATCCTACGTCACCATACATACATCCTGTAGGTTGGTGTGACCAATATGGTCACAACTTAACACCTCCAAATGGTGAGTATAGCTGTAGCTGATGGTGCCTCACTTTTAACTGGAAAACAAATAAATATGCAGGGAGTTTAACCAAAAACTTATATTTATTAAACTGTGCTTTGACGATGACACGTTTTGGCAACAGTGACCAGTACAATTTGCGAACTAATACCAGCCATTTACGCCTTCAAGCTAAAAACAGTAGCGTTTACAAAATTTCGATATTTTATGTGGGACACCTGTGGGTCATAAAAATATTAAAATTTACAAAATCAGCTTTTATAAGTAACATTTAAATTGTATAAAAATATTTCTTTCACTATATCACTGTACGAGTAATACTTCTGATGTAAAATAGTTGAAAGTTGCCTTCCTGACATTTTTTTGCCATTTCCGTAATTGTGTTTAGGATGTCATTACATATTTGTTTCATTTCTAAATTGTCTTTTGATTCTCAAAAAATCTTGTGTCGTTGTTCAAGGCACCTCGTTTCTAGATTACCCAAATCCGGAATCTTTCTCTTGGGAAAAGTACCTGAAAGAGACCAAATCCGTAGCAGCACCTGTTCGAGCCTTCAAGCAACGTCCAGCATGCGGTTTTAAGCGAGGAATGCGTCTAGAATGTGTAGATAGAAGAGTGCCACAACTCATCCGAGTTGCTACAATTGATGAAGTGAGAGATCATAGGATAAGGATACACTTTGATGGCTGGCCAGACAGATACAGCTACTGGCTAGATGACGACAGTGAAGACGTACACCCAGTTGGTTGGTGTCAGAAGACTGGACATCCCATAGAAACGCCGTTGAGTAAGACAACCAGTTGCAGTTTGAGTGATTTTTATTGACATACGTAACTTGTAGCTCCCGACGATGTCTATGACTTCTTGGAATGTCCAACAGTTGGGTGTCGAGGAATGGGTCATATTCAAGGACCTAAATTCGCCACACATTCTGAACAGAAGTTTTGTCCATATGCTGAAGATAACATAGACGTGGAAAAAGTTCTACCTGACAGGTTGTTATCGCCAGATCGATTAATCGAAGCTGTTGTTCCAGTGTCTAGGGAACCTCGGGAGAAAGTGTAAGTAACGAACAAATCTAAAAATTTGCAAACATTATTGAAAATGTATTTTAATGGGTATCTGTATTGTGTGCATCATTATAAATCGACTTTGCCGATAATGATAAGAGTAGAGCAAGCACTGACAAGTAACAGCAATTTTTGATCCAAAACTAATGCCAAAAGGTCTGTGGTGTTACTAGGAAAATTAAAATACTAGTGGTATTAAGCTTATTTACATAATATAATAAACAAAATATCGAAGATAATTATTTTCTATCTCGAAATTTGTCAGTTAAATAGTTTTAATATAAACTCAAGAAATTTTGGACAAGGAAACTGTTACTCTTTTTTTGACGTGATAACGTCTTATAAATCGATGGAGCCGGCTGCACGCTCGAAAAAGCATGACTCATACCGTTACTGTCACGTTCCATGTAAGGCTTGAAGTGCAAGCGAGAACGCGGAACGAGCGACAAAGAGGCACAATCGGCCTTCGCGTTCGGCAGCGTTCGCCATCCGTCTCTCTCCTACTTGAGTGAGCGATGCGTCTGCGTGGACAGCTGCTATATTATAGTACATTTACATGTTTTGGTCGAGTATCAAGTGCAGTGAAAAGTGAATGTAGTGTCAATTTTGACGTGACAACGATAATATTTTAAGAATTTTATTTAAATTGTTTCGAACGACGATTTATTTTGCAGAACTGCTTACAAACGCACCATGGAAAAAAAGCCTGACAAACCAGAGGATGTTACGAATAAGCCTTTACCTTCAATGAGTGAACCCATGGAGGTTCAAGATGCTGTAGCATTTACTTTAGCAACGCCATTCGCGCAGCCAATAATCGCTGCTTCAAAATCAAAAGCCCAAAACCATTCCATCAGTATTTTCTTAAGACGTTGTCACGTTCAACTATCGTCAGTAAACCGACTTTACAGACAACCGAGTTTTTTTTTTCAAATTTTTGATTTGCATTTTCAACCAAATCCCTCATTTGCTGGACAATTTTATTCTTTGTTTTTTTCGTATTTCTTCTTGAGCTTTTCTGGTATAGATTTTCAGACGGTAAACTATCATCTTGCAGTAAATTTTGTTTTGATGTTACAGCATGTTGCAAATTGTATTGAGCGATAAGTCGCATTTTTCCTAATTTCTTTCTTCATGACTTCCAAAACATTACCAGTGCAAAAATTATTATTCTTTAAATAATCTCTCGAATTACAAAATATTTGCTCTACTAAAATTGCTATTTGGAAGGCGTTCTCTGAAGCGTAATGTAAAGCACCAGTTTTATATTCTTTTAGTGCCACAAATTTTGCATAATTTTCATTACAATTCTTCTTGAGACCAAAGCAAGAATACATTTTTTGCAAACATTTTAATTTTTTATCAAGCTTTTAACAACGTAACCTGTCCAACTGTACAAAATATTTTTTTCTCTCAAAGAAAGTTCTTTTTTCTTCAAATCCCAATTTCTAGGTAAAGCTAAATTTTCTTTTCCTTTGGGAACATCGTTTTCTTTTCTGTTATTATCTATACTTATATAATAAAGCTGAAGCTTTTGTTTATTTGAACACGCATATCTCAGAAACTATTGGTTCAAATTCAAAAAATCTTTTTGTGTTGGATAGTCCATGTATCATATCTACATATAGGCTATATAACATCACGCTACGATAATTAGGAGCGAAGTAGCAATGAAAAATTCGGAAAAACGGGAAAATTATTCCTCCTTTGACAGCTTCCGTTGCTTACGCTGCTTAAACGGTTAAAGTTACGTGAAAATCATGTATGACGAAATTGTTCCCCTCTAAAAGATCTAAAGAAAAGTCCGCGACAGCATATGTCTATCTTTTAAGGTCGAGTCAGTATAACCTTTTTTATGGTAATGAAATTTGTTCTAAAATAATAATGCATTATGTATAAAATTCTCGCGTCACAGTGTTTGTAACCGAACTTTTCCGAAATGGGTTGACCGATTTGTATGAAATTTTTTATGCATATTCGGTAGGTCTGACAATAAGTTGTAAACAATTTTTAAACCCCTAAGTAATAAGGGTGGCCCACCCTAAAAAATGTTTGTCTATTTTTTGGACAAAATTTTTTATTATTTTTTTAAGATTTGGCATCAAAAAATACACATAACCCTAAATTTTCACCTTTCTACCACCAACCCCCATTTTTTAATCGTCTATAAAATACAAATCAATTGCTGTTCCTGTTATTAGTCTCGCTAAGACTCAAAAACGGCTTGACCGATTTGAAAATTATTTTATATTACGGGGATGGTTTATAAATAAAAAAAATAAGGATAACTTAAAAGAACAGTTAAAAAATAAAAAAATTCTAAAAATTTTGTATGGGAATCGCCACTTCGAATTAATTTCAATAGTTGGCGTTTCTGACGGACCTGTCGTCTAACTGACGTGTCATACAAAACTAATTCTTCCGAGCGATTGTGAAAAGTATATTGCATTTCAAATCGTTCTTTGTTTTTTCGTAAAAAAAAAACGTCGTTTATTTTAAGAAAAGTCTTGGTTAAAGTGAATTTAATTACACATTGCGAAAGTTTCTTATTCATTTTGATCTGCCATTCTATTTACCTATATTCACTTTGTTGGTTTCGACAAAACCTCAAACTTTACCGTTATTCGAGGATTTAATTTGAAGTTTTCAATATTTTAAAATTCTCAAGACAAAATTTACAGATTTAATTGACTGTGAAAATAATTCTGTGTCGTTTTATGAAGTTCATTAAAATTCTGAGAAGACGACAAGCTCACATAGGTCCACGAAGTTAATCAAATGTGCGACGAACTACCTCAGGTGCAAACCGCAATGATTTATTTCATGGGTAATTCGGATATGGAAGTTAATCACCGTTGTGCTCATAATCAACATAATCAAACATTGAAGCGAGACATTGGGTGGTATGAATAAAACTGAGTAGATACACATATTCGAAGTACGAAGTACCTACTTCATTATTACTCTTATATACCTGAGCATGTACTCTATGTACTGAGTACCTACTTGGAAACATTGTATCTCCCCGGACACAAACTGAACATCTACGCATTTTGTTAGCATTTAATCTAGAAATGAGCATCGGCGTGGCAAATAATTGAGCTGTCTGTAAAGCAGCTTAAAAAACCAGTAGGATCGTTGTAAGAGTGAATTTTAACTAAACATGGTGACTTTCATGAACGTGGAACGTCGTCAAAAGGTGCATTCAGTTTGAAAAACACATTAGGGGCAGGAATATCGAAAACTTTTCATGTAATTAACTTTTATTTATGCATAAATTGTGCAGTGCGTTTTTTCTAACACTGGCCATTGAGATTCCCATCTCAAGGTGTCTACCCCATACTAACTTATATTTTGGTGACTCGATTTTTGCCTTGATGGTTGAACACTGTCACTGTTGTCCTTTTTTGTTGTATCGAGATGCTACTTGAGCATCAACTGTTACTTACTGAAGTATTACTATCATCTAGAAAAACTAGAAATATTTTGATTTGATATTCGAGTAGATACTTCGTATTTCGAGTACGAGCATCTACTGAGTTTTATTTACATCAACCATTGTCAAAAAATTGATCGAACGTTTTTTCGATAGAACTTCCTTCGCACCAAAAGTATAATGTAACATATTCAGCATTTTCGAGTTGAGTCTTTTCTTCACACAATTTTGTGATGACCTAATCAACATTTACTATCAACACGTATACCACCTTGGATTGGTGCAGTGTAATACTAAAAATAACTGTATTGTATTCCCAAAATTATCTGCGAAAATCGAGTGAGCCATTCCATCAATTTTTTGGGGGAAATAAATAAACATTCTTAACAATTTACCATGCTTACAATAACTTTAAAACGTCTGCAAGATCTCAAAGTATTAATTTTTGCAACTCTTGAGTTATTCACTAAAATAAATTGACTGATCCATATATTTTTTTGAGTCACTGTAAAAGCAAATCTAAAAAATATGAATGCAATGATAAATTACGAAAATATACTGATCATATTTTCGACATTTTAGATAGGATTTATTCGGCAAAATCTTGAGATGACTTCTTCAAGTTTTTGGGCTTGATAAACAGATATATTTTGATTGAAAACCTTCCATGTCAAACAGTAACTTCAAAACGTCTGCAATATTTCAAAATTCAGTTTTGTAATTCTTGATTCAATCAATAAAATAAATTAACTCAGTGATTAATTTTTTTGAGACACCCTCTATAAGCAAAACTAAAAAATATGAATGGAATGATAAATCACAAGTATAGTCTCATCCTATTTTGGACATTTTAGATAGGATTCATTTGGCAAAATTTTGGGCTGACGTCATCAATTTTTTGGAGGGGATAAATAAATATACTTTGAATAAAAATGTATTATGCTTATCATATGTTTAAAACATCTGCAAGATTTCAAAGCATTCGATTTTGCAGATTCAAAATTAAATTGTAGGTGAAACGGTCAGCTAGTCTTTAATATAACTCAAAAAACGAACTAAAGGTGTTGTTTCATCGGTTTCGTAACTTGAGTTATTGAAACGTCCAAATATTGAGAAACTGATAAAAGTTTTAAGTCATATTTAAATTGAATGGTCGTAATGTCTTGACCGAATTTGTAAAAATACATTTTCTAAACAATCTTGAGAAAATATCGATGTTAATAAATGAGTTTTTTTTTTCGTTCAAAAACAAGTTTTGCAGGTCTAAAATTGATGTTGTAGTCAGTATAACACCTGTTTGAGTAGGTTTCCAAACTGCTTTTCCAAATTTGTCAGGACCGACCTTTAAGTTTAAAAATAACTTAATGAACTCTTGAAGGAATTCTATAGTTTCCCTATATACAGCCATATTACACTTGTTCAAGGCCAAAATAGTTGATTTAGAACTAATTAACTGGAACCACCTATGTACAACATCAATAAAAACAGCTGTCGTTAGAGAAGATTTGTCTTCTCTCTCCTCTTCCGCATCAAATTTTATTCCACAACTAACATTTCGATTCAAAACGTTTAGAGAATTTGACACCTTCATTTTGTTAAATTTTGTTAAAATGGTTAGATTGTAAAAGATCCACATTTAATTTAGACGCAAATTGCAGCTCAAATTTGCTTTCTTCTTCACAAAAATCTTTAATGTGTTGCACGTCAATCAAATCAGAAGTTAGTTTATATTTTTCAACAAAATCATTTGGTAATTGAATGATTTTGTTTTGTACCAAACATTGCTTTATATTTTTTAATAAATGTGGCCCATCTGCTAAAAAGTAAATTTTTTCGCCATTAACTGGGTTTAGGACACAATTTTTTGTTTGGCATTTTCTTCCAGCTTTTATTCCAAAAGTTTTCCACATAGCTTGATTCGCCGATCCCATATCTAAGGTTACAGAATGAACTTTCAAACCAATTTTACCTCTGATTTTCTTAAAAACTTCTTTAAGAACATCAGCTAGAACTGCCCCATTCATACTGTCTCCAGTAAAATAGTATGAAACAATTTGTTTCCAGCGAGTAGTAATATCTCCCACAAGAATTACCAACGCTTTTGTCTCTACTTCCTCATGTTTTGGTAAAGTAATTCCCCCAATATACGTCCCACTATGTACACAATAATCAATCCCAGCTTTTATACCCATTTCATCCAATGCCATCATACAATCCTTCCCAAAATCCTGATTAAGCGATTCACATTTAATTTCCAAAAACCCTATAATTTCCTCCAAAACTCCAGATTTAGACTCTAAATTTTGTAAATGAAAATTCAATGTTCGAATAGCTGGAAATGGTAGTTTCACTTTTCTTAATAAGTTATATCCACTGGTCCCACATCCAAATTTAAGCTTCAAAGATTTACTGATTGTTTGCTCGGAACATTTTTTGAATTGTTTCCCTTTTGGAGCCTCAATTTGATCTTTTGTTAATATATTTGCCAAATTTTTCCTTAAATTTGCATTACACACTTTTTGCAAGTATAATTTCTGGCCTAATTTTTTGTATTTTTTGTTACTGATTTTTAACATTCTGGCTGCGGATGATTTTTTGAGTTATGTTTTGACAATTTTTAATTGTCATTTAGCACATAGACGTTGAAGAGAATAGTCGACGTCTGCTGCGTACGAAACTGCAGTAATACAGAAGCAAATGGTTTCTCATTGTTTAAATGCCTCGAAAACAAGATATTACTTAACAAATAGAAAGAACAAATGCAATATCCATCTTGGAAAATTGGTAAAAGGGCTGACATCTGCGAGGTTGTTGTCTAAAACTGTATTTTCCATTTAATCCTTCGTCAATAATGAAAAATAAATATGTGAGACGCAATTCTAATAATTTATCAAGTGGCTGAATTTCCGTCAAAATTACCGGTTCCTGCAAAAAAAAAGTGTTGAACTTTTTTAGCAGACTATTTTGGAAAAAGACAACTTCATCAGGAAATTATAAAATGAAAATGTAAAGTTACAAGACTGGGGACTGAAAAAGAAATTAATATTTTGAAAGCAAAAATGTCTGGTTTAGAAGGGCAAGGGTAAATTACAAAAACAAGTACGGTGCATTAAAGAGAAGTATAAAAGGGATTTCCAACGAAAATCAAATTCAAAATTGAAGTGTTAAATGTAAACAACTAAAACGATGGAACAACAAAACAATAGAAGAAGCCTTTAAAATAAAATTTGTGTGTTGGACGTCAGGATATAACTATCTTCTGGAGATAAATTTTCCGTTACCTTCAAGTAGAATTCTATACCGTAATTCATCACATGCTGTTTTTATCAGTAATTTTAAATGCAATTTTTACCTATTTAACAATCAAAATTCAAAATTTTAATGATTATGAAAGAGATGGTTGTTTATTTTTATACGAAGCAATTTTAATCCAGGTAAAGAATACTGTCCAGGTTCCTCATTACTTATAGGAAATACAATATTAATAAATTTAAATGAAGTCGCTACACATGTTTTGATTTTTATGTTAGGAGGTGTAAGCTTACGATGGAAGCAAATCGTAAGTATAATCGTAAAATGATAACATTTTACTGGGGATTCCATAGACGGAGACGCATTATCTAGAAATGTAAAAGAAATTATCGTTATGTCTGATCGAGTCGGTTTTAAATTTAGTTAATGTGACTTTGGACATGGGCGCTTCCAACCGAACAATGTGGAAGACTCTTGGTATCAAAAGTACGAAAAGGCAGTTTCAAAATTGAATAGTTAACTCAAATGACGAAAGTAAGAATGTTTATTTTGCTGCTGACGCTCCACATTTATATAAGAACATACGGTCTGTCTTGATAAATAACAAAATTATCGAATTGCCTGTTGATACAACAGAGAAATACCATTTACCAACAAATATTGTAAATGTTTCGGATATCAAAAATTTAGCTCATTTTCAAGAAGATTTATATTTGCAATTAGCGCCAAAATTAACGCCAGAGTTACTGAATTTGAATAATTTTAATACAATGAAAGTTACAAATCTGTACCGTCTACTACATTGTAATGTGAGCGCCGCACTAAATTTTTTAGTAAATGAAGTAGATGAGACAGACAAAAATGCCCTAACAGCAGCTTGGTTTGTGGGTGCAATACATAAACGGTTCTGTTCGTTAACATTAGATTTTTTAAACGAAATTATACATTTATTTAAAAACATTAAAATGGGTACAAAGGTTTACTGGAAACTAGAGATGTACCGACTGTAGGTCTGGCCGGCTAACCGACTAGCCGATTGTTCGGCCAGTAAAAACCGTTTCTTTGTTTTCCAAAAAATGTGTTAAATTTGTTTGGATAATTTTAACATTTAATTTTTTTAGTAACTCATTACAAAAATAATGAATAACACAATTTAGGGCCAGTTTATACAATATTTTAACTGAGATTAAGTTGATCGCGCATTTAACAAGGCGTCTGATTGGCGTAGAGTCGGTCATATGGTACAGTTTGGGACACGGAATTTCAAACGACGTCTCAATCATAATGACAATAAGGTATAAGACTACAATGTTTTTGAAATGTCAGAAAGTTGGTGTCGTTTGAAATTCCCTGTCCCTAACCGTACTTTAGCGTGGGGTTAAAAATTAAATCGCAATTAAATATTTAATTGAGGTTCTGTAAACCGGATTTAATTGTATTATATTCTCTTTTTAATTTCAATAAAAAAAGCCGACCGATCGGCTGTTTAGCCGACCAGTCGCCGACTGCAGCCGACGATGAAAAACGGCCGAATAGTCGGCTTATCCGACCGCTCGGCCACTAGTCGGTACATCCCTACTGAAAACCGATACAGAGTGGTGTTATATTAAAAACTCAAACTATCTTCGATATTCAAAAGTATTTGTTAAATGTTAAAAAATATAAATACGTGTATACATGGCGTTGTTCTCAAGATGTACTGGAAAATATATTTGGTCAAATGAAATTTCGTCAAAAAGTTCCCAAAGATTTGAAATGTAGACAAATTTTAAAAAACATATGCGTTTTTTAATTTTTCGGCACGAAAATTTCAGAATTTGAGATGCGTCTCCTTTCCCTTCGTTTTTATGCGTTCTTCCTCCAGTCCTGTATTTGTTTTTCTGCTAGATCTTCCTCTATCGCTTCTTTCCACTTCTTCCTTGGTCTGCCTCTTTTCCTTTTGCCCTCCGGAATTTTCCACATTTTCTTAACTTCTCTTTCTTGGGTTCTTGCTAGGTGTCCTAACCATTGCAATCTTTTTATTTTTATGAAATTGCTTACAACTGTGTCATTATATAAATTATATATTGCTTCATTAGTTCTTCTTTCCCATCCTCTTTCTGTTTGTTTCCTTCCAAAGATTCTTCTAAGTATCTTCCTTTCCCAAATTTTCAGTCTTTGTTTCATTTTATTTGTCATAATCCATGTCTCGCACGCGTATGTTAGGGTTGGTCTCACTATGGTTTTATTTATTCTTAGTTTTGTTTGCCTTGATATTTCTTTACTTTTCATAATTTTTCTTAGTCCTCATGCACAGTTGTTTCTTTTAGCAATTCTCAGTTGTATTTCTTTGTCTTCTTGGCATTTGTTGGTTATCAACACCTCTAAGTACGTAAACATTTTTACTTCTTCAAATTCTACTTTTATTCCTTCTTGTCAGTCTACTTGTAGGTTGTTTTTGTTTCTGGTCCCTCAGTTATTCTTTAGTTCCATATATTTTGTTTTATCTATATTAAATTCTAAGCCTACCTCTTCTGCTTGTCTCATTACCTTTGCTGTTATCCTTTCTAATTCCTTTCTGCTCCTAGCTAGTAGAACTAAATCGTCTGCGTAGGCTAGACATTGATGGTTTTTAATGAATAGTAGACCCTTCCTGTTCATATCACTTTACCTTATAATACTCTCTAGAATCAGATTGAATAGAGTTGTTGACAATGGATCACCTTGTCTGAGTCTTTGTTTAACATTGCTAAGTGTCGCTAGTTTTTCCTTTTACTTTTGCTCTACTTATTGTATTTTTCAATGTAATTTTGATGAGATGATCAGTCTGGTTTTTTTCTTGCCTTCTTGGAGTCATCCATGTTCTCTTGTATATATCTTTTCGTTGAAATTGCGTATTTATTATTTTCATATTTCTTTCTGTAGCCAATACGATTAATCTTAGACCAATTTTAATTTCGAAAATGATTGAAAAATGGTCGAAATGTCAAAATCAGTCATATATATCTTATAGAATGCTAGCCCCGCCCACCCGCCTTCAGGCGTGAACAGTTAAAATGAACACCCTGTATAAACTACTTATTTAATTTTATGAAAATGTGCGACAGGGGGTGTAGTCATTTAAGGTAGTTGAGAAAAAAATATGAATAAAGCTTTTAAACATGTTACTAGAATGTTTACCAACATTCAAAGCAAAAGGCTTTTAAGGCAGAAACCAAAAAAAAAAAAACTTATACATGCTTCATAATTTTTGTTTTGTAATAATTATCAATTTTAATAAATTATTTATTTACAGAAAGCCGAGATTAGGTCGTCCTCCCAAATACCCGCGCCTGGAACCCCTCATAAAGGATACAGACGACGAAGTCCCAAAAAAACCGAAAAGAAGATACCGCAAAAGATTAAAATCAACACCAGACGAAGACGAAACGAGTTCTAAGATCAGTAAAGTTGAGTCTCTCATTGAAGAATCTAAAGTGGAACCTGCAGCTAAGGAATCATGGTTGACGCACAGTAGATTTTTATTAGATTATGTGGAAGATATTGACGATCTTTCGCACTGGAATATAGATAGGGTAGCCGAGTTTGTGTCTTCATTACCAGGAACGGAGGGAAGGGCCGATCAGTTCAGGAAAATGGAAATCGACGGCGAAGCCTTCCTGTCGCTCAATCAGCGGGATTTAATTGATATTTTAAGTATTAAGGTTGGACCCGCTGTAAAATTGTACAATGTTATTGTTTTGTTGAGACAAAAAGTGAGTCGAGTGTTTTCGTAACCATTTATGTAGTGTTTTATCTTTATAACACGGATTCGTTTTACGTTGTAAATATTTATAAAATATATTCGGTACGTTGTTACCTTCCCTTTTTTATATAGTGCTTAATTTTTATTTGTGTAATAAATATAGAAAGGAAAGAGGAGGCAAAAAAGTGATAGTAAGATTAAAAATAAAACAAACATGAAAAACACATTAAAGGTGAAGTATAGCTTACAAGAAAGCTGTCAAAAACAAAAAACGTATTTTCAGAATTTTCAAAAGAAGCTTGAGCAATAACGTAGCCAAAAACTATATTTTATTAACAAAATATATAAATTTAATGATGAAATAAATATAAATCTCACAAAAAAAAATTACCTCCGTCCATAATTTTTCTGCGCCATTGATAAATATTAATTAGCTATAGGGTATATACTTTGACCAAAACTCTTATGCAGAGTCTGCCTATGTATATTAATAAAGCAGGTCGTGAATTTAATAAATAGAAAATATGATACTAATTTTTAAACTTCGCGCTTGCTCGTTAGTTGGGCCACTACGACGCCAGATGGCTCTATTTTTTGTTTCTTGAAATTTGTAGGGACTTTGCATTTCTAACAATAATAAGTGTTCTGTCAAACCGTCATATTAATAAATTTAAACTAACCTAACATTTAAGTAGAAAATCATAACAATATTTTTATAGTTATTTCTGGCTACATTAAATTAAAATGGTCGACGAAGAAGAACAGAAGGAATATAGATGGGAAACTGGTTACGAAAAAACCTGGTAAAAGTGATTTTATGGTACATAAAGACCTAACCTTAAAAACACAACTCTTTCAGGGAAGCAATAAAGGAAGACGACGATGGGTTCCTCGAAGCTTCCGTGGCCGATATCATCCAAAGGGCCAAACGGAAGCGCCAAGCACAAAAGCAAGGTAACTCTAAGCTTGGTATGATGAGACATTTGTATGTTATTCTTGATTGTTCTGACTCCATGTCAAGCCAAGATCTTAAACCAACTCGTCTTCTTTGTACCGTTAAGGTAATCATTTAAGTAAAACTTTACCATATATGTATGAATGGATTCTAGATTATGGAAAATTTCATTGAGGAATTTTTCGATCAAAATCCAATCAGTCAGATGGGTATTATTATAATGCACAATAAAAGAGCTGAGAAAATTAGTGATTTAGCTGGGAATGCACGGAAACATATCAAAGCAATTAACAACTTAAAACAAACTTCGCTCATAGGGGAACCTTCATTGCAGAATAGTCTTGAAATGGCATTGAGGGCTTTGAAGTTGTTACCATCACATGCCAGTAGAGAAATTTTGGTTGTTATGGGAAGTTTAACCACTTGTGATCCTGGAGACATTAACACTACTATTTTGGTAATGTTGTGAATCATTTGGTATAAGTCATAAGTGTGTTTATTGTAGAATTTGAAGTCAGAAGGTGTAAGATGTTCAGTTATAGGATTAGCAGCTGAAGTCCATGTATGTCGTCGATTAGCTAATGAAACTGGTGGTCTCTATAATGTAATACTTGATGATTGTCATTTTAAAGATTTGTTGTATCAGCAAGTAGATCCTCCTCCTGCTGCTCTGACTCTTGAATCCAATTTAATTAAAATGGGATTTCCACATCAGATGTCTGTGGAAGGTACAGAAGAACCGTTAACAATGTGCATGTGGTAAAAATCATCCAAAGTGGGGTTAAAACATAGTTAATTTGTTTTTTTTTTCAGTCACGTGGATAGTACAGATGAGGGTAGTAAACTCAACACAGGGGGCTACTATTGTCCTCAATGTTACAGTAAATATTGTGAATTACCTGTAGAGTGTCGAGCGTGTGGTTTGACACTAGTATCAGCCCCTCACTTAGCAAGATCTTACCATCACTTATTCCCAGCAGCCAATTATGACGAAATTACATATGAAAATCAAACTCTCATTTGTTTTGCATGTCAGAAGAATTTTTCTGAAACTGATAAACAAGTGTATCGGTGTCCAAACTGCACAAAGATATTTTGCATCAACTGTGATATTTTCGTTCACGATATTCTACATACTTGTCCAGGCTGTGCCACGAACTTATCAACATTCCAAATAGCTCATAATACAACTCAGTAACACGTTCAGTTTAATAAAGAAATAGAAAATAGTTACATTATTGTTACATATTAATATAATTTATAAATGAGAACAATAAAAAAATGATTAAATAAATAAGCCATTCAAGTTATTTTAGCTATCTATTTTTTCTTTAAAGCTTTAATCCTGGCGTCGAGGTTCACGACAGTTGCGTTGATTTCGTTGAGATTGGTGGCGAAACTTTCTTGAACCCCCTGTAACAACGTCTTGTTGTTTTGCACGTTGGCCGTTATGTCGGCTTGCATTGTTTCTACTTGAGTTAGAGTTTTTACAAAATCTGTAGCTGTAACAAAAAATTTATAAGTCATTATCATTCATGGTATATTCTGTGTACCAACCCTTATTGTGTAAGCCTTCTAGAGCTTTTAGACGCTCAATTGTTTGGGGCAATAGTTTATTCATTTTTTCGCTGTTTTTCACCAGTTCATACAATTCTAAAATCTGAAACAAAATAAAAAAACCTGTAGAATCATTTACTTACTAACACAATCTTTTTAACAACGTTTAAACTTTGAACTGTACTACATGATGATAATAATAATTTATTATGCACCATTTTGAGGTAACGTTCATCACATTGTTGGTGGTGATGATTAGACAAATTTTGGTTAGCATTTACCACCTATATGATATTCCTAAAATAAAGATAAAATTTGACAATAATCGGTCCGGTAGTTTCGGAAATTATCTGCCTAATAAAAATCGACACAGACGGCAGACAGCAGATGGTAGCTGACAGACGGTAGACGGCAGAATTTATTTTATTGATCAAATCAAGAACGGCTCACCCCCTTTTCTCGAAAATTTAAGAATAAAATACTGTGTTATTAGTATGTATTACACTACACCTATTTAAATTGATATCCGTGTCCTTGCCAAAATGTTGTTGACGTCATCACAAAATTTTGTTGTGGAAAAACTCACTTAAAACAAACGTGTAGCACGCTTCTTTACCTTTAATAACATTACATACATTATTTAATTTAATTAATGATATTAAATTTACAAATGGACAATAAAAGCCTGCGTGCATACGTAAATTCACTGCTTTAAAAAAAAAAAACAACGTAAACAAGTATATTGCAGAAACATCATTTTGCTTTTTTTTTCAGATATTCTCGTTTTTTTAGTTTTCAAAAAATGTAAAAAATGTATTTAATACTCGTAAGGAAATGCAAGTTTTCTTTTAAGAAATGGGGCTTAGACCCCGGTAACAATGTCCTATAAATGTCAAATATTTAAAAAATTATCCAAAAGTTTGTGTCATAATTATCAAAACTTACATCTAAAGATGTTGTATCTTGGATATATGATACGTTACTCAAGTGCTGATAAAAGAGGAGACTAAATCATGCCTCATTTAGACGTTTTGTTTACACCGTTGCCATGGAAACCGTGCGTCTAGTCGCTGTATTCAGCTGATCGAACAGTGACCACTACCAGTAACTCAGTTGCGGGATTACATTTTCATTCAGTGCGAGTGAAACTGTTCGATTTTAAATAAAAATAATGAATTGAGTTGAATATTTAATAAAAAATCGTCCCGTCTTACGACGATAAAATTTTAGTGGAAAATTTAGGGAGAGACTTTCATAGATATTTTAATCCACATAACAAGCATGCTAAATTTTTGTGGATGTACGGTTGTGAAAAAAATAATAAGTTGTTTTGTTTTGTGTGTCTCCTCAGTGATGATATAAAACCAAAAGTATGTGGACAAGTACGTTTTTATTTTTTCTTGAATGTATTTTTCTATTTATTTCTGTTACACAATTTCTATTAATTGGTAATGACAGCCTGTTTTATATCTTCATATTTAACTCATCACTCAAATTGTGTCCCCCCACTGACTATCACACAATAAAATATGTTCAATTTAGAAAGTACTTTTCTTAAGATAAAAGCGAATTGATGGAGTTTAAACAAGTAAGCGCCACATCCGTACAGACCATTATTCTTTAACAAAAATTAATATCTAAATTTAACATGGGTTGATTTTAAATGGGAAGTGGTGTTTTTTATCAACCTGACTCAGTGAAAAATCGAATAAACTGACGAATATTGACAATTCGAAAATAAAACAAGACGAAACCTCGGAATGAAATATATAAAAATTATCTTCTATTTGTCTTCTATCATTTTCAATTTTGGAACTTTTAAATACTTCGGCTTTTAAATTTTTCGACTTTTCGTGTTTTTGATTTTTTACTTAATCAATTTTTCAAAATACTGCGACTTTTTAAATCTTACATTTTTTAATTTTTCAGTTTTTTGATTTTTTGTTTTGTTGATGTTTTGATTGCTCGATGTTTTAAATTTTTAAATTTTTGATTTTTCACTTTTTTGTTGTTTCGATTTGTCAATCTTTCGATTTTTTGCCCTCTCGTTTTTAGATTTTTCAATTTTTCGGAATTTGTTTTTTCAGTTTTTCGATGGTCCGATTTTTCACTTTTTGGTTTATCGGTTCTTTGAAGTTAAAATTTTTTTAGCCACTTTCATTTCTCAATTTTTCGATTTATCGACTTCTTGATTTTTTGATATTTCGATTTCGCGATTTTTCAATTTTTCAACATTTTAGTTTTGGGATTTACATATTATGTATTTCAATTTTTGGATTTTTCAATTTTTCAATTTTTGACGTTTCTAAATTTTTGGATTTTTCGATTTCTCAATTTCTAGATTAAGAGATTTTTTCATTTTCGACTTCTCGATTTCTCCATTTTTCGATTTTCAAATTTTCAATGTTCATTTTTCGATTTTTAAATTTTTAGATTTTTAGACTTCCTGTTTTTTTGATTTTTTACTTATTCTATTTTTAAAAATGTTGCTATTTTTCAAATCTTACATTTTTCGATTTTTCAATTTTTGATTTTTCCATTCGTTGATGTTTTGATTTCACGATTTTGTAAATTTTCATTTTTCGAATTTTTAAATTTTAGATTTTTCACTTTTTTGTTGTTTCGTTTCGATTTCTCAATCCTTCGATTTTTTGATTTCTCGTTTTTAGATTTTTCGATTTTTCAATTTTTCGGAATTAGGCTTTTCAGTTTTTCGATGTTTCGAATTTTCACTTTTTGGTTTATCGGTTTTTGAAAGTTAAAATTTTTTAATTTTTAACCACTTCCATTTCTCAATTTCTCGGTTTTTCGACTTCTCGATTTCTAAGTTTTTCGATAATTCATCTTTCGATTTTTCGATTTTACAATTTTTCAACGTTTCAGTTTTGGAATTTATGTATGCATTTAAATTTTTCGATTCTAAATTTTTGGATCTTTCGATTTCTCAATTTCTAGATTAATGGATTTTTAATTTTTCCACTTTTCCATTTTTTGTCTTTCCGATTTCTCGAGTTCTCAATTTTTCGATTTTCAAATTTTCAGTGTTAAAGTTTTAGGATTTTTCAAGATTTATTTCGATTTTTAAATTTTTAGAAGTATCGACTTTTTGTTTTTTTGATTTTTTACTTATTCGATTTTTCAAAATTTTGCGAATTTTTAAGTCTTACATTTCTCGATTTATCAATTTTTTAATTTTTCGATTCTTTGACGTTTTGATTTCTCGATTTTGTAAATTTTAAATTTTTCGAATTTTTAAATTTCAGATTTTTCGATTTTTCAAGAGTTCGGATTAATTTTTCGGTTTTTCGATATTTTCACTTATCGGGTTTATAAGTTTAAATCTTTTAATTTCGAGTTTTCCCATTTATCGATTTTTGATGTTTTGATTTCCCATTTTTTCAATTGTTCGATTTGGATTTCTCGATTTCTGAGTTTTCCGATTTATTCGTCTTTACGATTATTCGAGTTTCCAATTTTTAGACGTTTCTAAATTGTTGGATTTTTCGATTTTTCAATTTCTAGATTAAGAGATTTTTTCATTTTCGACTTTTCGATTTTTAAATTTTTAGATTTTTCGACTTCCTGTTTTTTTGGTTTTTTATTTATTCAATTTTTCAAAATTTTGCTATTTTTTAAACCTTACATTTTTCGATTTTTCAATTTTTTGATTTTTCCATTCCTTGATGTTTTGATTTCACGATTTTGTAAATTTTCAATTTTTCGAATTTTTAAATTTTAGATTTTTCATTTTTTTGTTGCGATTTCTCAATCTTTCGACTTTTTGATTTCTCGTTTTTAGATTTTTCGATTTATTATCAAATTTCGATTTAACGGTTTTCTTTCGATTTTTCGCCATCTCGTTTTCACATTTTCAGGTTTTTTAATTATTCGGAATTAGGTTTTTTAACTTTTCGATTTTTCGAATTTTCACTTTTTGGTTTATCGGTTTTTGTAAGTTAAAATTTTTCAATTTTGAATTGTCCCATTTTTCAATTTTTTCGGCTTCTCAATTTCTAGGTTAATGGATTTTTTAATTTTTCCACTTTTAAATTTTTTGTCTTTCCGATTTCTCAATTTTTCGATTTTCAAATTTTCAGTGTTAAAGTTTTGGGATGTTTCAAGATTTATTTCGATTTTTAAATTTTTAGAATTCTGGACTTTTTGTTTTTTTGATTTTTTACTTATTCGACTTTTCAAAACTTTGCGAATTTTTAAGTCTTCCTCGACTTATCAATTTTTTAATTTTCCGATTCTTTGACGTTTTGATTTCTCGATTTTGTAAATTTTCAATTTTTCGAATTTTTAAATTTCAGATTTTCCATTTTGTTTTTGTTTCGATTTCTGGAACTTTCGATTTTTGCCTTCTCGTTTTTAGATGTTTCGATTTTTCAATTTTTTCATATTTTCATTTATCGGGTTTTTAAGTTTAAATTTTTCAATTTTGAGTTTTCCTATTTATCGATCTTTTGATGTTTCGATTTCGCGTTTTTTCAATTTTTCGATTTTGATTTCTCGATTTCTCAGTTTTTCGATTTATTCGTCTTTACGATTATTCGAGTTTCCAATTTTTGGCGTTCCTAATTTTTTTTCTCAATTTCTCAATTACACGATTTTTTAATTTTCCCATTTTTCGATTTCTTAATTTTTCAATTTCTCTGTTTAAGTTTTGGGATTTGTCGATTTTTGGATTTTTCAAGATTTCGATTTTTAAATTTTTAGATTTTTCGACTTTCTGTTTTTTTGATTTTTCAAAATTTTGCAAGTTTTTAAATCTTACATTTTTCAACGTTTTCATCTATTCGATATTTTAATTTTTGGATTTTTTAGATTTTTAAAATTCTTGACTTTTCAATTTTTCGGTTTTCAAATTTTCAGGGTTAAAGTTTTGGGATTTTTCAAGATTTATTTCGATTTTTAAATTTTTAGAATCATCGACATTTTGTTTTTTTGATTTTTTACTTATTCGATTTTTCAAAATTTTGCGAATTTTAAAGTCTTACATTTCTCGACTTATCAATTTTTTAATTTTTCGATTCTTTGACGTTTTAATTTCTCGATTTTGTAAATTTTCAATTTTTCGAATTTTTAAATTTCAGATTCTTC